GTAACTGAAGCATCCGCGAGTGCAACACAGGTATCTCGTGCACATGTACAAGTGGTGCAGCTCGTGCAGAGGTTCGCGGGTGTTCGTCTGCGCAGGGTCGCGTCTGACCCTGCGCACCCTTGAGACTGCACAGGCGAATTTTGGCCATAAATTCGAATGTGCCCTAATTTCGACCAATGAGGAGCTGACATTTTGAAATGTCGACCGAGGTGTTCGACGAAGGTGGTCGACGAAGGTCGTCGACCCGCGATGACGAAGGTCGTCGACCCGCGACGACAAAGGTCGTCAACTGGTGATGACGAAGGTCATCATCCTGCAGGGTTGTCAAGGGCTTTACCTGGTCGACTGAGTTACCTGCTCGACGAAGTTCTGCGGAGGGTCACGAACGTGGTCGAGGTTGCTGTGGCGAAGTCGACCGACGTGGCAGCACGTGGTCGACGTGGCTCATCAGGTGCAACCGTCAGCATGTGGCTGACAACCTGCGCAATGTGTGCGACAGTGCACGTCGTGCATAACTGTCTACAAGCACCTGCGAAGTAGGTGCTTGCACATGCGCTTACAATCACCTGTGGATGCAGTGCTGGCAAGCCGCGCGGATGCAGCATTGGCAAGCCGCGCAAGTGCAGCGTTGGCAGGCCGCCATCTGCAGCGTTGGCAAGTCGCACACAAGCTGCGTTGGCGGGCCGCGGAGGTGCTGCGTTGGCAGGTCGACAACTCTGTCACGCTGGCAGTCGACCTGCCTGAGCACTAGCAAACCTTGCATGTGATGTAGTCAATCTTTGCCATTGCTTGTATATTCTGAACTCTGTATTCTCAACTTTTTCTTAGTGAAACTCTTGCTGTTTTGCCCTGTGAAAACACAAGTCCTAGAGAACACAGACAGAGCTACGATCACTCTGACAACTCGTGCCTACCCCATAGTCTAGCTCCCACCGTTGTAGAGTTAATCTCCGCAGACGCTTCTAGAACTCGATTGGCACGACACGTGGCTTTTAGGCCACGACAATTTCACACTGTTCAGTTTTGCTTCCAGCCGTTCGATCAAACTCTACCATCTCCGTTCATTTTCTGGCGGAAAACCGCTTCCCGCCTCCACGCTCCCCTGCACCGAAATCGTACCACTGTGTAAACGAGCGAGAAGGTCTGGTTTATGGGCAAGGGAACAGTGAGATGGCCCGCAATAGTGACAAACTTCCAGCACAGTACCCGAACGACAGTCAACGCCCATCAACAGGATGAATCCCACCATTTTGAGTTGCCTCATAACAAATTGCAGTGTAAACGAGAGTTCGTGAAAGTTCACGACAGTTTCCACGCAGTAAACCACACGAAAAAAGTAGTCGGTCAATGTCCCTTGTGAACGACCGTTTACGAGGCAGATTTCAACCCCAGAACAGACCCCCCCCCCCCCCCCCCCCCCCCCCCCTCCTCAGACCCGCATTTTCACATTTTTGCGATGTCCTGCCGCCTTTCCGGTGCTCTCTCCGCCAGTCGTTCCTCCAGCAGCTTCGCGCCGAGCCTCTGCTTCGGCCCAAACCTCTGGCTCGTGCCGAACCTCCGCTTCAAACACGGTGAGCTGCGCGAACCGGTTGTGAAACGCTTTCTTATGCTTCATCGGCTTGGTCACGAACGTTCCCTGCGCGAACGGCGCCGACGGGCTTCCCATGCACAGCCGGATCTTCGCGCCGCGGGCAGTTAACGACCGATCCAACGGCGCAAGTTCATCCAACGGGGTACGATCATTCCGCTCGTCGCAATGCGGGCAGTCTCGCGAAGTTTCTTCAGACCGTTCGAGGGGTATATCAGCAGCGTGGTTGCAATCGGAGGGCAGATAAGTCGCGTTTGGTGGAAACGCGACCCAGAACGCGAAGATCGCGGAAGCGGTAATTACGAGGAATGCATAGTGGACAAATGGGATCGCTTTCAGGAGCGCTGCGGCTTGGTGAGGTAATTGACGATTATGGCTCGGCGACTCTAGGCCTAGGTGAACCATGGTGACTCTCGCGGCAGCATGCGCGCAAAACGCTCAACCGTTCAATTCACAACATGGAATTACCTGATGTTGTGAAATTGCGTGCCGCGGAAGATGTGGTTGTGGTTGTGAAGCCAAGTGCAAAAACGAGTGGTTTGCTTCGCTTGCGTTGTGATAGCAGGTTCATCCACGGTTGAGAATTTTGCATCATTCCTTCACCGGACTAAAACCATGGTTATCTTCTCACAACTTACAGAAACGACTCCAACTCCGTTTGAAGCCAATCACGTGAAACACTTATTTCCGCCCTAAAAAAGCTCAACCAACCAATTCGTGGGCCTTGTTCGGGAGAACAAGAGGAAGAGGAGTACCAGATCCAGAGGATGAATAGTACTAGGCTCGGAAGCCCAAAAATCGCGTGCGACCCCCATGCGACCAATTTCGTGACCAAACCTCGAGGTTTGGAAACATCAACCTCTTCTTCTCCTCTGCAGCGGCTCGAGATTCCGAGCCGCTACCCCTACAGTCCATTGATTGCACAGTAATCACAGGCAAAAGTGTCCTCACTTTCTCCTCTCCATTCTCTGGCGAGGAGAAAGTGAGGATCAGAGGTCTTGAAAATTGTTGACCATCTGGGTTTCTACTTCATGTTTACCCAGGGCGGACATGTACGGACATGACCATTCGAGAAAGCCTTAACACATTCCCTTTGAGTTGTATTGTTTTGTGGTTCATTTTCGTGTTTCAAGGGTTGTTACGTTTTGGAAAATATGGTTTGGGATGGAGAGGAAATGGGAAGCTGAGAGAGCACCAGAGATGTAGCTGCGATTTGGCATCTTGACCCCGGGCGTGCGGTGGTTGTCGTTTTTGATCAAGTTGGGGCGTTGACTATGCACACCCCTGTCATTTTCTCCAGCTGGCGAATCTGATTGTCTAGCTGTCGACACTGTACAATTTTGCAGGTGGTGTGTTGTCTTTAGTCTACAGAGGCTCGGTACACAAGATGCTCAACCCCTGCGCGCGAATGTGTCCTTCAAAAAATTGAAAGTCTGCACCCGTGTTTTTTTTACCAGCCAGTTGCACCCACATTACAAGCTCCTCGAGCAAGTTGCAGTGACTATGAATCAATACGAACCACAGAAACCGAAGTCACACGGAAGAGACCGAAGTCAAAATGTCAACGAGGAGTTACAATTGTTTTATAAGCCCCTTTTTGCTAGGTGCGACGTTGACGAAATTTGCGAAACTCTCAGAACCACTTAATAGCCCTCTTCACAAGGCAACCTTGGGTTAGTCAAACGGGCATCGTGTGTACAGAGCAGCATCCTCATCCTCTGGTTGAGGGGCTCCCGAACAGGGCCGTGATAATCTCGAGGTGCGCAGCTTAGACTCCTCACCAGACTGCAGCCCTACAGACCGGATCTAAACCCCGTTAAAAAAAAACGGTTTTTGTAACGATAGAGACTGGCCCATTTTGAGCCACGTGTAGTACACCCTATTCTCGATAATTGCACACCCCCTACCCCCTATTTCGAAGGTACCCTGTACGTTTTCTGGCTCGATGTGACGGACACCCAAAGATTGACGAGGGTAGTTATCGAGCCTCGCACTTAATTTTCCGAGTGAGTAGTAGGTGTGGATGGCTGCCCTTGGAACTCTGGTTTCTTTTCTTCCATTCGCGAGCAGGTTGCGAGACTCCCTCCTCCGAAAGTCTACAATCGTTGCTTGCTACCCAACTTTAACGTTTAACCAAGAGTAATTACCCCAGGGTGTGCGCTTAAGGGCTGTGAAATTATCGAGAATAGGGTGTACAGTTGCGTGTGAAATGAGGCCTATCATCACCCCGCGAACGTCGGGATTGCGCCTTCTGCCCAGGAACGAGATCAGCTCAACATTCCTTCCGAACTCGCGGTATCGGCTGTGAGAACAAAACCCAGCCTTGTTCATCTGAGATGTTCTCTATTGCCATAGTATTTTTCTGACTGGGGCCTCCAGGGTTTCGTGACACTAGGGTTCACACACTGGCGCGTCATGCTCCTCCACTTATGCTCAACACGTTCCTGTATGCGAACACTCTGCATCGTATAACATGCTTACCAAACCGCATTGAAACCATCCCTAGCACTTTTTCAGGGCCTGAACAGATGGACTTTCACACAGGAATAGGCCTTCGTGTCGACAAAAAGGGTCGCATGGAGAAAGCACACAAGTCGCCGCGTTTCCCAACCACACGCCAACCACAAGTAACTGCATTGTGAGATGCTTCCTAGAAATACTCAGCTTGCCCACAATTTTGGGTCAGTCCTCACCTCATACATGGACTGAAGCGCCAGATTCTGATGGCTCGTAAATAGCGTTTAGTCCGCCACATCCCGTGTCATCCTTCCTCTTCGCAATCCTTACCCACATTCGCGGCCGTGCTGGTAAAAATAGCTCTGAAGTCGATTCCACGTTTTCGCGAATTCGGGTGTTCCGTGGTCATCTCAATCTCCATCATTACATTCATTCCGTCCACGGTTCGTTGACGCGACATGATCAGCTCGAATGCCTTTTCTGCTTTCAAGCTACGCTGGCTCCTAAGCTTCGCGTAGATTAAAACGCTAGTCTCTCGTATCTGTAGCTTGAGTTCTTTCTGTGTCAAAGAAAGTTATATCGTCAAACAGTGTATCAGAGAAAGGGGTAGCCTGCTAGTCTTCGGAATTTGCGTGGAAGCATGGGTCAGAGTGGATCGAGAGAGGAGCTGATACGTCACGCCGCGAAGCACGGCGACACGTCAGGCATCCGAGAGCTGGTTTCGTGTGGAATAAGCGTCAATGTGAGATTTGTTTTTATTTGATTCACTTGTGTCGTCAAAAATAAATGCGAAGCACTCATGAAGATTTTACCTGCAACGTTCTGTTCGAGATTGTTATTTCATAAAGTCGCTGATGCTTGTTGACGCCAATGTGAGGCTTATTTGAAGCTTACATCCAGGTTTCCAGCTCTTTCTGGCGTGAGTTACACAGTAACCAGTTACATTTTCTTGTGGATGAGGTGTGGGTGATACATGAGGGGATAAATTTTTGAGGGATAATATTTTCTGTGCCTCTCGGCTCCCTAGCCCCTCATTTCCCGGCGTCCCTCTTCGCCGCCATCTCCCCTCATTTCCCCCTCATTCCCTCATGTCCCCCCTTATCCCCCCACCCAGTGAGTGGATTCGTACGCCGTTGATTCTCGCCAGCAGCCAGGCGGAGGGGTATGAAGCTGCGAAGCTGCTGCTCATTTTCTTTCTTCGTGCCTCTCTCTCCCTCGTCCCCCTCGCCCCCTTTGTCTTCTCTATCCCCGCTCGTCCCCCAGCATTCCCCCACCCAGTGTGTGGACTCCAAGGGTCGCACGCCGTTGATTTGGCACGCTTGTTGATCGACTGCCCGTAACTCAAATGTGCTATGCCTCTCTCCTCCCTCGTCCTCACCCTTCTCCTCACCCAGTGTGTGGAGTGGACTCCAAGGGTCGCACGCCGTTGATTCTCGCCAGCAGCCGGGCGGAGGGGTGCGAAGCTGCTGCTCATATTCTTCGTGCCTCTTTCCTCCCTCGTCCTCCCTCGTCCTCCCTCGTCCTCCCTCGTCCTCCCTCGTCCTCCCTCGTCCTCCCTCCTCCCTCGTCCTCCCTCCTCCCTCGTCCTCCCTCCTCCCTCGTCCTCCCTCGTCCTCCCTCGTCCTCCCTCGTCCTCCCTCCTCCCTCGTCCTCCCTCGTCCTCCCTCGTCCTCCCTCCTCCCTCGTCCTCCCTCCTCCCTCGTCCTCCCTCCTCCCTCGTCCTCCCTCGTCCTCCCTCGTCCTCCCTCGTCCTCCCTCGTCCTCCCTCCTCCCTCGTCCTCCCTCCTCCCTCGTCCTCCCTCCTCCCTCGTCCTCCCTCGTCCTCCCTCCTCCCTCGTCCTCCCTCGTCCTCCCTCCTCCCTCGTCCTCCCTCGTCCTCCCTCCTCCCTCGTCCTCCCTCGTCCCCCTGCATTCCTCCACCCAGTGTGTGGACTCCAAGGGTCGCACGCCGTTGATTTGGCACGCTTGTTGATCGACTGCCCGTAACTCAAATGTGCTATGCCTCTCTCCTCCCTCGTCCTCACCCTTCTCCTCACCCAGTGTGTGGAGTGGACTCCAAGGGTCGCACGCCGTTGATTCTCGCCAGCAGCCGGGCGGAGGGGTGCGAAGCTGCTGCTCATATTCTTCGTGCCTCTTTCCTCCCTCGTCCTCCCTCGTCCTCCCTCGTCCTCCCTCGTCCTCCCTCGTCCTCCCTCGTCCTCCCTCCTCCCTCGTCCTCCCTCCTCCCTCGTCCTCCCTCCTCCCTCGTCCTCCCTCGTCCTCCCTCGTCCTCCCTCGTCCTCCCTCCTCCCTCGTCCTCCCTCGTCCTCCCTCGTCCTCCCTCCTCCCTCGTCCTCCCTCCTCCCTCGTCCTCCCTCGTCCTCCCTCGTCCTCCCTCGTCCTCCCTCCTCCCTCGTCCTCCCTCCTCCCTCGTCCTCCCTCCTCCCTCGTCCTCCCTCCTCCCTCGTCCTCCCTCGTCCTCCCTCCTCCCTCGCCCTCCCTCGTCCTCCCTCCTCCCTCGTCCTCCCTCGTCCCCCTGCATTCCTCCACCCAGTGTGTGGACTCCGGGGGTCGCACGCCCTTGATTCTCGCCAGCAGCCGGGCGGAGGGGTATGAAGCTGCGAAGCTGCTGCTCATATTCTTCGTGCCTCTTTCCCCCCTCGTCCTCCCTCGTCCTCCCTCGTCCTCTCTCGTCCCCCTGCCCAGTGTGTGGACTCCAGGGGTCGCACGCCCTTGATTCTCGCCAGCAGCCGGGCGGAGGGGTATGAGGCGGCGAAGCTGCTGCTGCAGATGGGCGCCCATCTGCACGCCTACTGCAAAGGTCCGGGAGGGGGCACAGCCATTCACCATGCCGCTCGCAAGCAGCTCGATGCCACAGTGAAGCTTCTGCTAGACCATGGAGGTGAGCTGGTAGCCATGCGGTAACCATGCAGTAACCAGGTGACGCTTGCGCAGTGCAGCCGGGCGGAGGGTTATGAAGCGGCGAAGCTGCTGCTGCAGATGGGCGCCCATGTGCACGCCTACTGCAAAGGTCCGGGAGGGGGCACAGCCATTCACCATGCCGCTCGCAAGCAGCTCGACGCCACAGTGAAGCTTCTGCTGGACCATGGAGGTGAGCTGGTAACCATGCGGTAACCATGCGTTTGTAACCACATGTTTGTCGCTGCGATATGTTACGATCGATGCCTCAGTGAAAGTGCAGCTGGCTGGACTGGACCATGGAGGTGAGCTGGTAACCATGTGGTGGTTACCACGAATTTGTAACCTCGAGTCTGTTCACAGTAGAAGGAGCTGTGTGGGGTAGTGCAGTTACTGCTGGAGCGTGGAGCTGGGATTACAGCCGTGAAAAAATACCCCGGCCCTTCTTTGTTCTCCCCCATTCTCCCTTGTTCTCCCCCATTTTTCCCTGTTCTCCCCCATTCTCCCCTGTTCTCCCCCCTTCTCCCTCGTCCCCACCTGCCCGTCCCTATTGCAGCGGACCCCCTTCTCCCCAACGACGAACGCAAGAGCGCTCTGGACCTGGCCCGAGAGCGAAACGCCACTGCTGTCGTCCGACTTATCGAGGTGAGGTGGGGGGGTGCGTGTGGGGTGGGGGTGGGGGAGAGGTAGGCGGTGCGAGGGAGGTGTGGAGTAAAACGGCTTGCTCCCCAATGGCGAGGGCAGGAGAGCCCTCTGGACCTGGCTAGAGAGAGAAACGCCACTGCTGTCGTCCGACTCATAGAGGTGAGGTGGGGGTTGTCGAGGAGAAGAGGGGGAGGGGGCTTGCATTTGTGTGCACGTGTGTGTGAGAGGGAGAGGTTGGGAGGGAGGTGTGGACCTGGCGAGAGAGAGAAACACCACTGCTGTCGTCCGACTCATTGAGGTTAGGTGAGGGTAGGGGAGGAGGAGGAGGTGAGAGGCTGTATTTGAGAGCTGGAGAGGTCGTTTCCATGAAAAGAGAGACGAAAAGATAAGCTGGAGAAGTGGGGTATCGATCCCCATACCTCTCGCATGCTAAGCGAGCGCTCTACCATCTGAGCTACATCCCCATGAAGGAGGTGCCTTTTTGTAGTAAATCTTTCAGTATTTGGATGGGGAGGTGGGAGGGACATGTGGAAGGAAGGGTTGCTTGCGCCAGCGATCCGTGACATGCTGACATGGGCACTTGCGAGTTGCGCCAGCGGACCCTCTCAGCACTTGAACACTCTGCTCTTGTTACTTCCTTCGTAACGTACCTCCCTACCCCCTCCCTTTGCCTCTCCCTCCCTGCTCGTTCTTGGTTCTCTTGCCTTGCCCCATCACAGCCAACTAGCCTTTTTTCGTGGGCTATGTGCGCCAGCCAACCAGACTTTTTTCCTGGGCTATGTGCGGCAGCAGACCCTCTCAGTGCCGTACACTCTTCTCCCTCGCCCCTATCTCCCTCTTTACCCTGCATCCTCGCACCCCACAATTTCCCCCTCTCTTTTTTTGTCCACCCATCAGAGCCGAGACGAGTGGCGTTGTTCGAGGGCTACGTGCGCTGCCAGCAGACTCTCTCAGTGCCGTTAAGACTCTCTTCCTCGCTGCCCCCCCCTTTCGCCCTCTTCCCACCCCTTCGCGTTCTTCCCCCCCCATTCGCCCTCTTCACCTCCCCCTCCTCTCCTCTTCCCCCATCAGAGCCGGGTGGCGTTGTTCGAGGGCTATGTGCGCCAGCAGACCCTCTCAGCACCATTTCCCTCCACGTAGCCCCCCCCCTCTTCCCTTCCTCCCTGCCTTGTTCCCCCATCAGAGCCGGGTGGCGTTGTTCGAAGGCTATGTACGCCAGCAGACCCTCTCAGCACCGATGCCACTGTGCTCCTGTTTCCTTCCACTCTGCCCCACCCGTTCCCCTCCCTCCCTCCCCCCCCGCCCCCTCCCCCTCCTCTGGTCTTGCCCCATCAGAGCCGGGTGGCATTGTTCGAGGGCTATGTCCGACAGCAGACCCTTTCAGCGCCGTTCACACCCCTCCGCCCCTCCCACTCGCCCCCCCACACCTCTCCCCTTCCCCATCAGAGCCGGGTGGCATTGTTCGAGGGCTATGTCCGACAGCAGACCCTTTCAGCGCCGTTCACACCCCTCCGCCCCTCCCACTCGCCCCCCCACACCTCTCCCCTTCCCCATCAGAGCCGGGTGGCATTGTTCGAGGGCTATGTCCGACAGCAGACCCTTTCAGCGCCGTTCACACCCCTCCGCCCCTCCCACTCGCCCCCCCACACCTCTCCCCTTCCCCATCAGAGCCGGGTGGCATTGTTCGAGGGCTATGTCCGACAGCAGACCCTTTCAGCGCCGTTCACACCCCTCCGCCCCTCCCACTCGCCCCCCCACACCTCTCCCCTTCCCCATCAGAGCCGGGTGGCATTGTTCGAGGGCTATGTCCGACAGCAGACCCTTTCAGCGCCGTTCACACCCCTCCGCCCCTCCCACTCGCCCCCCCACACCTCTCCCCTTCCCCATCAGAGCCGGGTGGCATTGTTCGAGGGCTATGTACGCCAGCAGACCCTTTCAGCGCCGTCGCTTGTGAAAGCGTTTATACCGCAATGGGTGTACCGGAGAATGTAAGTTGCATTCTGTGCTGTTTTCGATGGGTGTTGGGATATTTTTTAGTTTACTTTGCCTCTGCCTTCGATGGGTGCTGGGAGTTTTTTTTGTTTCCTTTGCCTCGGCTTTCGATGGGTCCTAGGATATTTTGGGTTGCCTTCGCCTCTGCTTTTGATGGGTGCATAGAGGAGTCGTACACAGGACTGCATTTCCAGTGCTGCCCACGCCACTGTTTTTCCGCCCCCCTCTGCCTCTGGTATCACCTCACTCTCCATCCCTCCCCATCCCTCTCCACCGCTCTCCGCCCATGCATGTGCAGCTGGGTGGCAGTGCTTCCTGGGCCCACCATGAGTGACGGACGCCAGACATTTCGCCTCGCTCTCTACCCATCCATGGCTGTGAGTGCATGCATGGCTGTGAGTGCATGCTTGCGTGGCTGTGAGTGCATGCTTGCATGGCTGTGAGTGCATGCTTGCATGGCTGTGAGTGCATGCTTGCATTGCTGTGCGTGCATGCTTGCATGGCTGTGAGTGCATGCTTGCATGGCTGTGAGTGCATGCTTGCATTGCTGTGAGTGCATGCTTGCATTGCTGTGAGTGCATGCTTGCATGGCTGTGAGTGCATGCTTGCATGGCTGTGAGTGCATGCTTGCATGGGTGTGAGTGCATGCTTGCATGGCTGTGAGTGCATGCATGCATGGCTGTGATGTGAGTGCATGCTTGCATGGGTGTGAGTGCATGCTTGCATTGCTGTGAGTGCATGCTTGCATGGCTGTGAGTGCATGCTTGCATGGCTGTGAGTGCATGCTTGCATGGCTGTGAGTGCATGCTTGCATGGCTGTGAGTGCATGCTTGCATGGCTGTGAGTGCATGCATGGCTGTGAGTGCATGCTTGCGTGGCTGTGAGTGCATGCTTGCATGGCTGTGAGTGCATGCTTGCATGGCTGTGAGTGCATGCTTGCATGGCTGTGAGTGCATGCTTGCATGGCTGTGCGTGCATGCTTGCATGGCTGTGAGTGCATGCTTGCATGGCTGTGAGTGCATGCTTGCATTGCTGTGCGTGCATGCTTGCATGGCTGTGAGTGCATGCTTGCATGGCTGTGAGTGCATGCTTGCATTGCTGTGCGTGCATGCTTGCATGGCTGTGAGTGCATGCTTGCATGGCTGTGAGTGCATGCTTGCATGGCTGTGAGTGCATGCTTGCATTGCTGTGAGTGCATGCTTGCATGGCTGTGAGTGTATGCTTGCATGGCTGTGAGTGCATGCATGCATGGCTGTGATGTGAGTGCATGCTTGCATGGGTGTGAGTGCATGCTTGCATTGCTGTGAGTGCATGCTTGCATGGCTGTGAGTGCATGCTTGCATGGCTGTGAGTGCATGCTTGCATGGCTGTGAGTGCATGCTTGCATGGCTGTGAGTGCATGCTTGCATGGCTGTGAGTGCATGCTTGCATGGCTGTGCGTGCATGCTTGCATGGCTGTGAGTGCATGCTTGCATGGCTGTGAGTGCATGCTTGCATTGCTGTGCGTGCATGCTTGCATGGCTGTGAGTGCATGCTTGCATGGCTGTGAGTGCATGCTTGCATGGCTGTGCGTGCATGCTTGCATGGCTGTGAGTGCATGCTTGCATGGCTGTGAGTGCATGCTTGCATTGCTGTGCGTGCATGCTTGCATGGCTGTGAGTGCATGCTTGCATGGCTGTGAGTGCATGCTTGCATTGCTGTGCGTGCATGCTTGCATGGCTGTGCGTGCATGCTTGCATGGCTGTGAGTGCATGCTTGCATTGCTGTGAGTGCATGCTTGCATGGCTGTGAGTGCATGCTTGCATGGGTGTGAGTGCATGCTTGCATGGCTGTGCGTGCATGCTTGCATGGCTGTGAGTGCATGCTTGCATGGCTGTGAGTGCATGCTTGCATTGCTGTGAGTGCATGCTTGCATGGCTGTGAGTGCATGCTTGCATTGCTGTGAGTGCATGCTTGCATGGCTGTGAGTGCATGCTTGCATGGCTGTGAGTGCATGCATGCATGGCTGTGATGTGAGTGCATGCTTGCATGGGTGTGAGTGCATGCTTGCATTGCTGTGAGTGCATGCTTGCATGGCTGTGAGTGCATGCTTGCATGGCTGTGAGTGCATGCTTGCATGGCTGTGAGTGCATGCTTGCATGGCTGTGAGTGCATGCTTGCATGGCTGTGAGTGCATGCTTGCATGGCTGTGAGTGCATGCTTGCATGGGTGTGAGTGCATGCTTGCATTGCTGTGAGTGCATGCTTGCATGGCTGTGAGTGCATGCTTGCATTGCTGTGAGTGCATGCTTGCATTGCTGTGAGTGCATGCTTGCATGGCTGTGAGTGCATGCTTGCATAGCTGTGAGTGAGTGCACCCTTGCATCCTGTGAGTGCATGGCAGTGAGTGCACGACCTGCTGCATTTTTCGCGCTCTGTTTCAACATAGCACTCCACGTGCGTTTACTTCTGAAATAGAGCCCCCCTTCCCTCCCTCCACCAACCCGCCCCCTCGACCCACTGCAGTTTGGCTCGCCTTACTTACACACATAGCTCTGCACGTGCATTTGACCCGCCCCCTGAAGGCCCCCATCCCCCCCCCCGCCTTCCCCCTTCCAACCCCCCCCCCTCGACCCACTGCAGTTTGGCTCGCCTTACTTACACACATAGCTCTGCACGTGCATTTGACCCGCCCCCTGAAGGCCCCCATCCCCCCCCCCGCCTTCCCCCTTCCAACCCCCCCCCTCGACCCACTGCAGTTTGGCTCGCCTTACTTACACATAGCTCTGCACGTGCCTTTGTGCCTTTTCGACATAGGCCCCCCCTCTCCACCTCTCCCCCTCTCCCCCTCTCCACCTCTTCCCCTCTCCCCGTCTCCCCCTCTCCACCTCTCCCCCTCTCCCCCTCTCCACCTCTCCCCCTCTCCCCCTCTCCCCGTCTCCCCCTCTCCCCACTTCCCCCCACCCTTTCCTTCACGACCCACTGCAGTTTGGTGCGCCCTATGTCGACATAGCACTGCATGTGTGTTTGCTCCTCAACAAGAGCCCCCCTTTTCCCTCTCCAACCCACGACCTCTTGCAGTTTGGAGCGCCCTATTTCGACATAGCTCTACACGTGTGCCGCATTCACATGACCAAGCTGGACTCTGCCAACCCTGTACTCGTTATAGAGGACCCCGTTCATGGTATGGCACCTTCTTCTCTCATTCTGCTCTTTCCCAGCACCCGATGCGATTCTTCCTTCTCTCAGTGTGGCTTATTTGTGATATTATTGACTATTTTTGGGGGGGGACCTGGCACTGAGTTCTCATCAATATTGGACTTACTTTTGAAATTTCTCAAAAGTAACATCAAGATTTTCCAGTCCAGACGTAACTTTTTCTGGGGGGAGACCTGGCGCTGAGTTCTCACCTTGCATTGCTGTGTTGCTAATGGAATATCTTAGCTCTGTGCCTGCATGTTCACACACACACGTGTGCCTGCATGTGTGCAAGTGTGTCCGCATGCGGGCATGTACATGCGTGCACGTGTCTAAATACACTTGTCCACATGCGTATGAATGTGTATGCATGCATGTGTGTGTGATTGCATGTGTGCATCCCTGCATGCATCCCTCCATGCCCCCCATGGCAGCGGAGAAGGGCAAGTGGAAGTTTGTGAGCGACAAGGATTCACCCGACCCCTCTCAGATATTCCGCCTGCACGACGCCTGCCGGGGAACGCCACGGGTGAGTCACTTCTCCCTCCGCTCTCTCTTTTCTCTCCTCGCACTCTCTAGGTGACTGTTTAGTCGACTCGATAGCTCACCCGACCCTTGGCAAATATTCCGCCTGCGCGACGCATGCAGGGGAACACCACCGGTGACCTCTCTTTCCCCTTACTCTTCCCTCATCTCTCACTCTCTATCTAGGCGACTTTCGAGTTAACTCAATAATTCACCCGACCCTTCGCAAATATTCCGCCTGCACGACGCCTGCCGGGGAACACCGCGGGTAGTTCTTCTTTCCCCTCTCACTCTTCCCTCCTTCTCGCTCTTCCCTCCCTTTCGCTCTTCCTTCACTCTCACTCTTCCCTCCCTCTCACTCTTCCCTCCTTTCTCAATCTTCCCTCCTTTCTCACTCCCTCCTCTCCACTTTCAGTTCTCCTCTCCCTTCTCAGATATTCCGCCTGCACGACGTGTGCCGGGGAATGGCACGGGTGACTTCTTTCTTCCCTCTCTCCCCTCCCTCCTCTCTCCGCTCTCATCCTCTCTCTCCTCCCTCCTCTCTCCGCTCTCATCCTCTCTCTCCTCCCTCCTCTCCCTGCTCGCATCCTCTCTCCCCTCCCTCCTCTCTCCACCCTCACTCCCTCTCGCCTCTCACTCCTTTCTCGCCTCTCTCTCCTCTCTTTCCTCTCACTCCTCTTCCTATCCCTCCATCTCCTCTCATTTCTCTGCTCTCTCTTTCTTCTCTCCTTTCTCACCCTTCTCTCCCCTGCCCTCCTAACGTTCTCTCTCCTTTCACTCTTCCCACACACACAGACACCTTGGCATGCCCTTTCACCTAATCCCTCACCCAGACGTTTCCGAACCACATTCTCAAGTTTTGAGGCGCCTAAAATAAACGTTCGCCTAATCCCTCACATCGACGTTTCCGAACCACATTCTCAAGCCTCAATCCCTCCCATTCTCACACCCTCCCATCTCTACCCCATGCAGGCTCGCACTCAGTCAGCCAATCAGCATCCGGCACCTCAGCATGTGGCATCCTCTCCCCACATCCCACAATCACATGCACGACCACCAGCAACCCAGCTCCCAGCGTCTCGGTCTCACACTGCCCCCTCCTCCATTCACCATCCCCCCCCACCACAGATGTACCCCCAACCTCCTGCCGTTCCTGCTGTTTCCCCTTTTGCTGCTTCTGCTTCTGCTGCTGCTTATGATGCATATGCTGCGGCCTATTACACACAGCAGCAGGCACAGCAGCAGCAGCAGGCATGGCAGCAGTATCAGCAGCAGCAACAGCAGCAGCAGCAGCAGCAGCAGCAGCAGCAGCAGCAGCAGCAGCAGCAGCAGCAGCAGCAGCAGCAGCAGCAGCAGCAGCAGCAGCAGCAGCAGCAGCAGCAGCAGCTGGCATGGCAGCAGCAGCAGCAGCAGCAGCAGCAGCAGCAGGGGGGGTGTTCTGGAGCAGCAGTGGGAGCAGGAGGGATGGCGTCAGGATCATCTGACTCCAGGGATGTGGTGAACGTGCACGCGTGGCAGGATGACGTGGACGAGGACACGGCGTTCCAGCTGGCGCTCTCTGAGTCGATGCACACTGCCAGCACTGCCAGCTCTGCCCGAGCCGATGCCCCTGGTGCTTCTGGTGCCGCTGCTGCTGCTCAGGGCATGAGCAGAGGGGAGGAGGGAGCATACGGGTTTATTCTCACCCGCTCTTCCTCCGAGCCTCAGTCCAGATCCGGGCGCTCTCTCTCCTCATCTTCCTCTTCCGCTGCTGGTGTTGGTGCTGCTGCCTCTGATGCATTCACTGCTTCCCATCGCTCCTCGAGGTCCGTTTCAGCCTCTGCTGACCGGCACCCGTTTGCCCCACCTGCTGCCCCCATCCCCTCTTCCTCTGCTGCCGCTGGCGCTTCTTCTGGCGCTGCTGCTGGTCCTGCTGCTGGCTCTGGTTCTGGCCACGCATCCAGCTCAGCAGCCAGCTCAGCCGGTACAGCTGGCACTGCTGCTGCAGCAGGCGTGGAAGGGGGTAGAATGCGCGACGAGATTGCGAATCAGTTCTCCTCTGTGGCACCGGCGTTCAACCGAGCAGCAGCAGCCGTGTCGTCGCTCTTTGCTTCCGGCCCACCGTCAGCACCCCCTGCGGATGGTCCTGCTTCCACAGCAGGGGCATCAGTGGGAGCAGGGAGTTTGCCAGGAGCACCCGTGACAGGCCAGCCAGCTTCAGCAGCAGCAGCACCAGCAGCAGCACCAGCAGGAGCAGCAGCAGCTCCAGCTTTCAATGCTAGAGCAGCAGTGGCTGCTGAGGCGATTGCAACAGCAGCAGGGGCTCTCACGTCAGCAACAGCCGCTGCAGCCGCGACAGCATGGCAGCGAACCACGGGCCACCGTGCTTCTTTCTTCGACCCTCCTCTCATCCAGTTCTCCCCTCCCAGCAGCCCCGAGCGAAACCCACACCCTCACATCCACCCTCAGGCTCAACCACCCATATCCCACCAGGTTCAACCACCTATCACCCATCAGCACCCACCTGTTTCCATGAACCCTCAGGTGCAACCACCCAGCTCCCATCCCCATACACCTGCCAACGTCCCATCCCCTGCTGCCGCGGCTGTAGCTTTTCCTGGTGCGTCGTTTTCGTCAGTAGGCGGCTCATCTGCCGGGCTTCCTTCGCCAGGTGCGGCATCTGTAGCGGAGCTACACCGAGCTACAACCCTGAGAGGGTGCAGGCAGAACTCGCCAGGGCACAGAGCCGAGGGCACGGAGCAGCAGGAGGAAGGGCAGCAGGTACAGCGACAGGCGCAGGAGCAGGAGCAGAGGCAGGGGTAGAGGCAGGGGCGGGAGCAGGAGTAGCAGCAACAGGAGGGGAACCAGCATCATCAGCAGCAGCAGGAGGGGCGTCTACTAGAGAGGGTCAGTGTGTGATTTGCTGGGATTCAGCAGCGCAGGCAGTGTGTGTGCCCTGTGGGCACGTGGCGGGATGTGTGGAGTGTCTCGCTGAGGTTAGATCTAAGGGCTGGGGTTGCCCTGTCTGCCGAGCTCCTATTCGAGAAGTGGTGAAGATCTTCCATGTTTAGGTTTTGTGCTTGCTTCGTGATGTTTGTGGTGAGGTCTCCGGTAACACACGATCTATTACGCATGGAAGAGGTGGTACATTGGTGTTATACTATTCCGGAGGTGCAGGTTATAGACGGGTATAACGCACTTGCGCGTTTTGCAGCTTGCCTCGTCAACCGCTATTCCATTACCATTTTTTTCTGAGGGCAAGTTTTGCTACCCGGGGAAGCTGCATGGCTATTGCTGCTGAGAAAATTGATGTCGATGTTATACTATAGGCTCTTTGGATAAAACCAATGCATTAACCGGTACATGTAACACACAACATAGCAAATAAAATTGCATTGTCACTAACAAACTAATAGCCTCAGATTATTTCTAGGTGTAACATGTGATTCCAAGATTTTGAGTGCCCGTTTATAGTTGGGTTATCCGCGTTTTACGTTCATGGCATGCTGTGGCACTTGCGCAATCTGCGGGCCTGCCGCGTCAACGGCTTTCCGCTTTCTCAATCCCCAATTTTTACCAGGGAAGCGGTCAACGAGCTTCAACGATAGCGCAGGTTCTGTGGAGCCCCTTGGCGTGACCGAGCAGCACAGCGTATCAGTCGGAAGCTCATTTGTGAGTCATTTTGGCGTCGCAGGTTGGGATGGTAACACGAAAGGGACATTGTTGATGTTGCAGTGAACTGTGGCTGCTGCTCGCGTGGCACCAGGGTGGCGGGAAATATTTCACGTGGCGAAATTTTTCGCCGCAATTTCCCCGTCAGCCAAAATCCGAATATGCAAAAGGCATCTTGCAAAAATGCCCACTCGCCACCACACCCTTCCTATCTCCAGACAGCAAAAACCTACCAATCAAAACCTATCAATCCTCCACCTCAACTCTCCTCCTATCCTCATCATCTTTCTCATCCCATTATCCACCAATCAAACAAAAGATTCCATACCAAGCCTTCCAATCCAAGCCACATTCATTCCACTCACCAAGCCTTAAAATCAAAGCCAAATACATCCCATTCACCAAGCCTTAACTTCAAGGCCACATTCATTCTCTTCACCAAGCCTTCACTTCAAGGCCACATTCATCACCCCCATCTTATCCAACTCAACCAATCACAACCATTCATCTTTTCCTCATCCTTCATCCAACATCAAGCTCCACCAAATACAAAAGGGTCCTCTTCATTTCTTCAAAAAAATATTCTTCAATGCTACTTCATACCCAAACTCTCAACAAGTTCTTCAAACTCCCTCAAGGCCAACCTCAAGTCCTCCTCCTTATGCTCCAACTCCTAAGGCTTCATCATCACCACCAACCTCTCCCAACCCAAGCTCATAGCCATATGCTCCAATTCTAGAGAAGTTTGTGCCACATAGTTTTACTTCTAGATCATCAAGGATAGTTGATCTCAAGATCCTACCATGTACCTCCCTTTGATTAATGTACTTTAAAGCTTCAAGCAAGATTGGTGTATTCTTCTACCCAAGGTCCAAGCTTTAACCTCAACATCCAAGCTTGGAGGTTTCTCTTCATTCAACAAACATTATCTACAAGTCAACATTCAAGATCAACTTCTCAACATTCGAGCTTTGAGGTTCTTCATTAACAACTAAGACAACATTTAAGCTTGAAGTGAAGATCAACTTCTACAACATAATAGTAAGAACTCTTTTCAAGTAAGTGGTTATCCCTTCCTCTCATTTTTCACCAAGTTTCTTTTACATCAAAGTTCATTTGCTATTATCAAGTTGTTTTATATTCAAGCTCTTTCCATAATAATCAAGTTCTTATTCTCAAGTTCGTTACAAGTTCCTTTCAAGTATCTTTCAAGCCCTTTACCTTTTCTTCAATACTTTCTTTTAAGCCAATCTTGTTTGGTCCCTTTTATCCCTATCAAGTCTATCTATCTTCTCCTTCAAAACTTTCTTCATTCTTAATTACTCCATACTTCAAGATTTCCTTTCAACTTGTTTTTGCTTTTCAACTTGGTTTTACTTTGATCTTACCTTTTCTTTCTAGGTGTTTTCTTTCTTTCTCCTTACCATTTACCCTCCCTCGTCTATAACTTCAATTTCAAGATGGTATCTGAGCCCGAGTTCATTCCTTTTTGCTGTTTCTTCCGTGCGCATCTTGTCTAGTTTGTTTTTTTAAGCCCGTTATTTGCCATTAGTGGCATCCTTGCACTTGGTCTTGCGCCCCCTTTTGGGTCCTCCTTTTTGTGTTTCCCCTTTTTTGTTTTTGTGTGTTTGTGTATGTGTGTGTCTGTGTGTGTGTGTTTGTCTATTTCCCCTTCCCCTTGTGTGAAATTGTTTGATTGTATCAGGAGTTTTAATTTACCAACATAGATGAAAAGGACTCAAGTGTTCCTATGGGATCAACTTCACCAGCTGTAACCACAAACTCTTCAAACGAATCAGCACCTCCTACAACCAACACATCATCTCCATCTACACCACCTACTACATCTACATTTACCTCCTCCTTAGTCCCCAAATTGGAGCTTCCACGCTTCAACGGCAAAGGTTTTTCATCATGGAGCATCCGCTTTCAACAAGCCGCCACTCTTCTTGATCTTTGGCCTATCTACATCGGCCAAAACACTCCCCCTTCAACTGCTGCACCTGATCAAGAACAGAGCAACTGGATCAAGAAAAATGCTGAAGCTTATCTCTATCTCCTCTCTTCCATTCAAGACCCCTACTCTCAACCCCTCCTCCTCGTATCAACTCAAAAGGACAGTGCCAGAGCTGCTTGGGAGCGGCTCAAACGTCTTCATCAACCTATTTCCCAAGGTTCTAAGGCAGAAGTGTGGAACAAGATTGTCTCTCTCCGCATGGGGGAGAGTGAGTCCATCCCCGACTACTTACAACGTGGTGAAATGGTCCTTTACGAAGCTACACTTCTCGACATTGAGGTCCCGGAATCTCTCTTCATCACCATTCTTCTAGCCGGACTTTCATCTGGATGGAGCACTATGAGAAGCACCATTCAAGCCTTTCCTGAGGAGACAAGGACCCGAGATTTCATCTTCAACACGCTCATCACCGAACATCAGACAAGAGAACTTGCAAAGCTTCAGAGAATTCCTGGACCAGCATGGAGTGGAATGACAAGTTCCAACTATCGCCCTCAACAAAGTGTTCAACAACAGAGCAAGTTTCAGCAAGGTAAGTCCTCTCAAACCCCAACACACTCTCTTCTTGGACAACCCACACCAAGTCATATTTCTCAGCTTGCATCATACTCTAATCATATTCCTTATAAGTCAAAGTCAAGGTATCAATTTGAGTGTCATTATTGTCATAAATGGGGACATCCTTGGTTCAAGTGCAACATACGTCCTGCGAACTGGACACCACCTTCATCTCTGCTTTCTGACAAAGGAAGGGCCGCCATTTCTATTACATCCCATACCCCTCCAGAAAATCAACCAGACAGTGCGCATCATGGGGCATTCTTTCAGAATGCTTCCCAAGTCTCATCTCAAAACCATGTCTCTGCTTCCTCTATGCCACAACCTCACACACCAGAGGCGCCTCTTCAAGCCACCATAGGAGTCGTTTCATATGAGAGAGACTCTACTCAATCGAATGCACCGAGTTTCGCATTTGCATCATCCTCTTGTCTCCATGCATTTACACAGGATCCCAAGATTTGGTTTTTGGACAGTGGATGTGATCAACATATGACCCCTCATGCCTCCCTCCTTCACAGCCTCAAGCCCTCCAATGTGAAAGAAGTGGTTGTTGCCAGCAACCATTCGGTGCCAGTTCAAGCAGAGGGAACAATGACATTTCTCAGTCCAGAGGGAATTCATATGTCATTCTCAGGCATTTTACTTGTCCCCTCACTAGGGGCGAACCTTCTCTCAATTGGTCAAATGGAAGAGAAAGGTATTTCCATCTCTTTCTCAGATGGTTCTGTGCAGGTTCGTGCTCCAACTGGACATCACATTGCAAGAGGTGTTCATAATGGACGTCTCTATCGAGTGGAGATTGATGCACAGCCACCTGCCAAGCCCTACAGCAGTCCCTCAGTTGCTGCTACCACCACCTCAGTAAGACTTCATCCTGGTACATCTGCATCTCCTTACACCTGGCATTGTCGTTACGGTCACCCTGAAGAGTCTAGCATCACACGCATGCAAGCACATGCAAGTGTTGATGGTCTTATCATCTCCAAGCATTTGTCATCATCTCAGTCATCGTGCCACACTTGTGTTGAGGCTAAGCTTCCTCGTCATCCTTTCTATTCTTCTGAGTCTGAAGTCTCTCAATCGCTTGAGCTCATTCATAGTGACCTGATGGGTCCTTCCCGTACACCAAGTCGTACTGGGAAAAGATATGTAATGTCACTCATTGACCATCATACAAAATTTGCTTGGATCTCTCTTCTTGGATCTAAAGATGAAGTTCCCGGTGTTATCCAGTCCTGGTTTCCTTATATTGAGCGTCAGTTGGGTCTCAAGGTCAAAATTTTTCGTTCTGATCGTGGAGGAGAGTACATGTCTAACTCTTTCCGCTCTTTTCTTGCCAACCTTGGAGTTGAACAGCAATTGTCATGCACAGCAACACCTCAACAAAATGGTACTGCTGAGAGGTACAACCGTACGATTCAAGAGATCTCAAGAGGTTTTCTTTCCCACATGAATCTGGATGACTCATGGTGGGGAGAAGCTGTTACACATGCTGCTTGGGTCAAGAATCGTCGACTGACAAGCTCCATTGCTGAGGGTATTACACCCTATGAGGCATTATATGGCATAAAGCCAAATGTGTCCATGCTGCGAGTATTTGGCTGCATGGGCCAGTACAAAGTGCTAGATGACAAACGCAGCAAGTTTGAAAGTAAGGCAGCATGGGGCATGCATCTGGGCATGGCCAAGGAAAGTAAGGGCTGGTTAATGTGGGATCCTCTCCTAAAAAGAGACATTGTGTCAAGGGACGTGATCTTCTATGAAGACATGTCCCCTTCTTCTTGGAAACTTTCTTTTCCTCTTGTTTCCTCTCAAGTTCCTCCCTTCTCTACCTTTGCAGATTTCGAACCTCCAACAATCATTCTAAGTGGAGTTTCTGCATCATCACTGCAGAAGCAACACGAAGACATGTCTCATGCTCAAGACCAACAACCACCGCCATCATCTTCTGCTCCCACCCCTCATCACCAAGAGCAACAGCAGCAGCAGCCGCCACCACCTCCATCACAACCAAACCAGTCAACCGCTCCACCTGTTCTTTCCTCTCATCCTCCTCCTCAGCCCCCAGTTAATTCGCTTCAGCAGCAACAACAACCATCTCCACCCGATTTACCTCCTCCTCTTCAATCTTCCCCCACTCACCAGCAGGACCAGCAGCAACAACAATATCCTCCTGGCTCTCACTCTCTTCACCCATCACTTCCACCTCTCGTCGTTCATCGACCCAGTGGTTATCGTCCAGCAGCCCTTCTTCACCTTCCAGACCATCTTCAACCCGTACCGTCAACCGTGCAGCCACCACCAACACAACAGCACACATCTTCCCATCTCCAACACCTGCATTCGACAACTCCGCCTGATAGAACTTCATCAGAAGACCATTCTCAACCGGTAGCACCACCTCCCTCACCCAACCGGATCGATATCAACTACCCACCAGCGATGAGCACGTCGCACTTTGCAGCACCATCTTCATCTTCTACTTCGTCATCTGCGAACTTCACCTCTCATGTGCCGGTGTCCACTTTCACCTCACCTCCAAGTCATTTGTGTAGTGGTCGCACCTGCTTCCAATGCAGGATTCACGCCACCTGTTTCGTCATTTCCCAACTTCCACCCGAGCCTCTCAATCGCAAAGAAGCTATGGCAGGAGCCTTTAAGGAGCAGTGGTTAGCAGCGGAAAAGGCAGAACTGGAAAGTTTACTCGACCGGGGGACTTGGACTTTGGAGCCACTACCCAAGGGAAAGAAGCTCGTGGGAGTAAAATGGGTCTACCGGGTGAAGGTGAAGGGTGATGGATCTTTGGACAAGTTCAAGGCTCGTTTGGTCGCCAAAGGATATTCTCAAGTTCCTGGAGAAGACTACAATGAAACATTTGCTTCGGTCGCCAAGTTCACCAGTGTCCGCGCTCTTCTTGGTATGGCAGTACGAATGGATCTCTACATCATCCAGCTGGACGTCTCCAACGCCTTTCTTTACGGCATTTTAGAGGAAGAAATCTACATGGCTCAACCTGATGGGTATCATGATGGTACTAAGAGAGTCTGCAGGCTGCACAAGTCCCTGTATGGCCTGAAGCAAGCTCCACGGGTTTGGTATCACGCATTGGAGTCTGCCCTGCTGGCACAAGGTTTCACCCAGTCTGAGTATGACCCGGGCACTCTACATCCTGCACACGGAGGTGCATGAGGTACTGTGGTTGATCGTGTATGTGGATGACATCCTCATGGTGTCAGGTTCTCTCTCCCTTCTCACCCACATCAAAGGTATGCTCACCAAGGAGTTTGTCATGACAGACATGGGTGAGCCATCATATTACCTTGGCATGAACATCATTCGTGACCGTCCTTCTCGCTCTCTATTTCTTTCACAAGAGCGATACATTCACAAGGTCCTCTCTCGCTTCGGCCTTCTCACCTGCAATCCTGCATCTACACCTCTCCCTTCTAACTTCCAGCATTCTTCTCCTTCCACTTCTGACCTTCAGCCCTCTCAGTCTGCACCCCTTTCTGACTGGGACGAGTTTCACGAGGCTCTTGCGCCTTCATCCTCTTCTTCCATTTTTTCTTCCACCAAACCTCCCTCATCACTCCTTTCCCCCCTCGACATTAATCTTTATCAGAGCATTGTCGGTAGCCTCATGTACGCATCCGTCTGCACCCGCCCCGATCTCTCTCAAGCTGTGGGCATGCTTTCTCAATTCCTTTCCTCACCATCTACTCAGCACTTGAACGCTGCAAAGCATGTCCTGCGCTATCTCTCCGGCTCTAAATCATTTGGTCTCCTCTTTCATGGACATGAGCATGGTAGTGTCTTGCATGGCTTTACGGATGCGGATTGGGCAGGTCCATTTTCAAAGCGTAAATCCACGGGAGGCTACATGTTTGTGATGGCGGGAGCAGCGATTTCTTGGCAATCGAAGAAGCAAGGCTGTGTGGCACTATCTTCAACGGAAGCGGAGTACATGGCTGTGACGCAAGGAGCAAGAGAGGCTGTGTGGTTGCGAGGGTTGCTGATGGAGTTGGGTCTTCCCCAGCTTGAGCCGACCGTTCTCCACATTGACAACACGTCGGCAATCGCCTTGAGCAAGAACCCGGTCTATCATGGACGCACCAAGCATATTGATACCCAGTATCACTACATTCGGGAGCTGATTAAGAACAAGGTTGTGACACCGGTCTACTGCAGCACCACGGACCAGGCTGCTGATTTTCTGACTAAGATACTTCCACGGCACCTATTCGTCCTTGGACGCCACCGTGTTGGATTGGTGCCGCTCGAGTCTCTTGAGTCCTTCTCCACTGCTGTCCCTTCCGCTCCTTCGTCTCGCTCTGAGGGTCAGCAGTGCGGGGGGGTGTTGCAGTGAACTGTGGCTGCTGCTCGCGTGGCACCAGGGTGGCGGGAAATATTTCACGTGGCGAAATTTTTCGCCGCAATTTCCCCGTCAGCCAAAATCCGAATATGCAAAAGGCATCTTGCAAAAATGCCCACTCGCCACCACACCCTTCCTATCTCCAGACAGCAAAAACCTACCAATCAAAACCTATCAATCCTCCACCTCAACTCTCCTCCTATCCTCATCATCTTTCTCATCCCATTATCCACCAATCAAACAAAAGATTCCATACCAAGCCTTCCAATCCAAGCCACATTCATTCCACTCACCAAGCCTTAAAATCAAAGCCAAATACATCCCATTCACCAAGCCTTAACTTCAAGGCCACATTCATTCTCTTCACCAAGCCTTCACTTCAAGGCCACATTCATCACCCTCATCTTATCCAACTCAACCAATCACAACCATTCATCCTTTCCTCATCCTTCATCCAACATCAAGCTCCACCAAATACAAAAGGGTCCTCTTCATTTCTTCAAAAAAATATTCTTCAATGCTACTTCATACCCAAACTCTCAACAAGTTCTTCAAACTCCCTCAAGGCCAACCTCAAGTCCTCCTCCTTATGCTCCAACTTCTAAGGCTTCATCATCACCACCAACCTCTCCCAACCCAAGCTCATAGCCATATGCTCCAATTCTAGAGAAGTTTGTGCCACATAGTTTTACTTCTAGATCATCAAGGATAGTTGATCTCAAGATCCTACCATGTACCTCCCTTTGATTAATGTACTTTAAAGCTTCAAGCAAGATTGGTGTATTCTTCTACCCAAGGTCCAAGCTCCATAATAATCAAGTTCTTATTCTCAAGTTCGTTACAAGTTCCTTTCAAGTATCTTTCAAGCCCTTTACCTTTTCTTCAATACTTTCTTTTAAGCCAATCTTGTTTGGTCCCTTTTATCCCTATCAAGTCTATCTATCTTCTCCTTCAAAACTTTCTTCATTCTTAATTACTCCATACTTCAAGATTTCCTTTCAACTTGTTTTTGCTTTTCAACTTGGTTTTACTTTGATCTTACCTTTTCTTTCTAGGTGTTTTCTTTCTTTCTCCTTACCATTTACCCTCCCTCGTCTATAACTTCAATTTCAAGAGTTGAATCTCCGTCCTGAAATGCGCCTACGAAACCTGAGCTAGAGGCGCAAGTCGCGGATTTGACCTGGCGGGAAATAGATTATCCCGCCAAAACTAATCGCATCCTTTCACACCCCCAAGGCGAAAACGCTTTCGAGCCGCGTCCCCTCCCCACCACCACACCACATTAGTATAAAAGCATGCACCCGTCACTCACATCAGCATCCTCCTCAGTACTCTCACTCGAGCTTCTCGCAATTCGAGCTCTTGCCGCTCGCACATTTCCACTGTTTTTGAGCTCGTCCCCGCCTAGCAAGTGCTCGGAAGCGGATAGAATCGTTCCTGCACGATGGCCTGCAAAATGCGAGTCACGGCGGTGGCTCTTCTTCTGCTTGCGCTTTTAGCGGCGTCGGCGTTTGTAACGCCGGGTGAGTGTCCCACTTTGGTGCACACACTCCTCTAATCACAGTCATTTCCATTTCGTTTTTCCTCCATTTTCTATAATGCCAAATTGGTTGTTTCAATTCCATTAATTAACTTGCGCCCTTATCGTGCATTCTATCCAAATCGTTATTTACGATATTACGTGTCTTTTTCATCGGCGCAGGATCCGCGAGGTCCCTCGCTCCGCGCCGCAGTCTTGTTCTTAAAGCCCAATCACTTCTGAAGGCAACCGCAACCAGACCAGTTTTGACAAGTGTTGATATGGGCGACGGCACTGAAGTTGATTTGGGCGGCGGCGGCACTGGCGGAGATTTCGGCGGCGACATTGGCGGAGATTTGGGCGGCGACATTGGCGGAGATTTGGGCGGCGACAGTGGCGGAGACCTGGGCGGCGGCAGTGGCGGAGACCTGGGCGGCGGCAGTGGCGGAGACCTGGGCGGCGGCAGTGGCGAAGATCTGGGCGGCGGCAGTGGCGGAGACCTGGGCGGCGGAAGTGGCGGAGACCTGGGCGGCGGAAGTGGCGGAGACCTGGGCGGCGGAAGTGGCGGAGATCTGGGCGGCGGCAATGGCGGAGAGCAGGGCGGACCTGGCGGAGAGCAGGGCGGACCCGGGGGGCAGCAGGGCGGACCCGGCGGACAGCAGGGCGGACAGGGCGGACCTCCGCAGGGAGGTCAGCAGGGCGGAGAGCAGGGCGGACAGCAAGGCGGACGTGGCGGACCGCCGCAGCAGGGCGGACAGCAGGGCGGGCAGCAGGGCGGGCAGCAGGGCGGGCAGCAGGGCGGGCAGCAGGGCGGGCAGCAGGGCGGGCAGCAGGGCGGACAGCAGGGACCGCCGCAGCAGGGCGGACAGCAGGGACCGCCGCAGCAGGGCGGACAGCAGGGCGGGCAGCAGGGCGGACAGCAGGGAGGACAGCAGAGCGGGCAGCAGGGCGGACAGCAGGGAGGACAGCAGAGTGGGCAGCAGGGCGGACAGCAGGGAGGACAGCAGAGCGGGCAGCAGGGCGGACAGCAGAGCGGACCTCCGCAGCAGGGCGGCCAGCAGGGCGGACAGCAGGGCGGACAGCAGGGACCGCCGCAGGGCTTTACTGGCGGACAGCAGAGCGGGCAGCAGAGCGGGCAGCAGGGCGGATCTGGCGGACCGCCGCAGCAGGGCGGACAGCAGGGGGGACCTGGCGGACCGCCGCAGCAGGGCGGACAGCAGGGATCGCCTCAGCAGGGCGGACAGCAGAGCGGGCAGCAGGGCGGACAGCAGGGAGGACAGCAGAGCGGGCAGCAGGGCGGACAGCAGGGAGGACAGCAGAGTGGGCAGCAGGGCGGACAGCAGGGAGGACAGCAGAGCGGGCAGCAGGGCGGACAGCAGAGCGGACCTCCGCAGCAGGGCGGCCAGCAGGGCGGACAGCAGGGCGGACAGCAGGGACCGCCGCAGGGCTTTACTGGCGGACAGCAGAGCGGGCAGCAGAGCGGGCAGCAGGGCGGATCTGGCGGACCGCCGCAGCAGGGCGGACAGCAGGGGGGACCTGGCGGACCGCCGCAGCAGGGCGGACAGCAGGGATCGCCTCAGCAGGGCGGACAGCAGAGCGGATTTGGCGGACAGCAGGGCGGACAGCAGGGCGGACAGCAGGGACCGCCGCAAGGCTTTACTGGCGGACAGCAGAGCGGACAGCAGGGCGGATCTGGCGGACCGCCGCAGCAGGGCGGACAGCAAGGCGGACGGGGCGGACCCCCGCAGCAAAGCGGACAGCAGGGCGGACAGCAGGGCGGACCGCCGCAGCAGGGCGGACAGCAGGGCGGACATGGCGGACCGCCTCAGGGCGGACCGCCTCAGGGCGGAGAGCAAGGCGGATCCGGTGGACAGCAGGGCGGACAGCAGGGGGGAGCTGGCGGGGATCAGGGGGGTGCTGGCGGGGATCAGGGGGGAACCGGCGGGGATCAGGGTGGAGCAGGCAGTTCAAGCGTCGCCACTAGTGTGAAAGGCAGTGCGATCAATACAACAGGTGCCAAGGGTGGGAAGGGAGGCAAGGGCGGCAAGGGCGGAAAGGGAGGAAAGGGGGGGAAGGGTGGCAAGGGAGGAAAGAAGTGAACGAGGTAATAGGACCCCTTCGGTTTCTGTTAGATCCTTTATAGCCCTGTTTCGTGTGAGTGCCTGTAGTTTACGCTTTATTGTATCATCATATGTTTTTTGTTTGATGCATATTTTTGTCTGTTTTTATCAAGCAAGTTTCCATTTTTCTGCAAACCAACGCATCCTCCAACGATTTTCCTGAATCGGTTACACATTTTAATTACACATTTTTCTGTTTTTGTTACATAATTTGATTGTACCTAATTGAATGGAGAAACTGTACCTAGTAATACCAATCTGCCTCCAGTCCCCTGTGGGTCATGCCTGAAAGAACCCCCTGACTTGACGGATGAAGCCCAATGCAACCCACAAGGCTGGGCTGGGCTTGACTGGGCTGGGCTGTGAAACTCAGCTGCTCGGGCACTCTCTGTCTGAATACTGTGTGCGGTGGTACGGTAGTTGGAACTTGGATGTACCCCTGTAAAGTACAATGCCTTATATGCAAAAGCCATGAGGTAGGGCCAGCTCTGATCTGAAAGCATCCTTTGAGCCTTGGGTTTTTTTTCAGCAACCTGTGTGCAGTGCACTGATGAATCGTCGTTAAAACCGTGACCGGTACCGCACTGATTGCGGAGTTTTCGCAATTACCGCACAAGGTTCACAGGTACGTACGGTAAATCGCACATCTGGTCTGGTCTGGTGCCATTTTCTAGCTGGAATCAATATGACAATCTGACAACGATGCACGTCGCTGTAATTCACTCAACCACCAGAGCAAATTGCCGCTGCCAGCAGTTTAGATAGATAGATACGCCGCAGCATCCTGCACAGGTTGAAGTGCCATACTCGGCGAAGGAGTGTGCCACAGGTTGAGGTGCTACTTGAGGAAGGCTTATCTACAGAATACATCCTGTATTGAGTCGTGCAGGTGCAACATCCTGCAGGTTGCCCTCTTGAGCCTAGAATTCCCAGCCACTCCCAGCAGGGGAGGCTTTCACAGGGGAAGGTGGTAGCTAAGGGAAGGTGATATCTAAGCTGAGAAGGGAGAGAGGGCGGGCTTGTTTGTCTGTGCCTGCAGCAGGAGCGCCTTCTCCACCCCCTCGAGCACCTCAATCACTTCCAGTAGGGAGGCTCTATCAGGGGAAGGTGTTACCTAAGCTGAGAAGGGAGAGAGCGCGGGCTTGTTTGCCTGTGCCTGCAGCAGGAGCGCCTTCTCCACCCCCTCGAGCACCTCGATCACTTGCAGCAGGGGAGGCGCTATCAGGGGAAGGTGATATTTTATGCTGAGAAGGGAGAGAGGGCGGGCTTGTTTGCCTGCGCCTGCAGCAGGAGCGCCTTCTCCACCCCCTCGAGCACCTCGATCACTTCCATGAAGGACGGGCGTGACATGGGGTCTGCCGCCCAACAGCGGGATATCAAACTGGTGTGAAGGGAGAGGGAGAGAGGGGGAGCGAGAGGGAGAGAGAAGGCAGGTGAGCGAGGGAGTGAGAGAGCAAGGGAGAGGGGAAGAGAGGGAAGAGGGAGGGATGGAAGAGGAAGCAACAGGAGTGAGGGAGTGAATATGGGGAAGGAGGGGAGGCAGAGATGAGAGAAAGCAGGAGAGCCTTTTCAACCCCCTGGAGAACCTCGATCACTTCCATGAAGGACGGGCGAGACATGGGGTCTGCTGCCCAACAACGGGATATCAAACTGGCGAGAGGGAGAGAGAGGGAGAGAGGGGGAGCGAGAGGGAGAGAGGGAGAGACGGAGTGAACAGTGACGTTTCAGAACATAACTTGAACAACCCGAGACTCGATATCCCCTGCAATCATGCCGCCATTTGAGGCGCCTTACAAGTTCAACCCCAAAGAACACAGCACCTGACACAGCATCTGACACAGCACCTGAAAGAGTTGCTGACACAGCACCTGGCTAGGACCTGAATCAGCACCTGACTCAGCACCTGCCTCAGCACCTGACAAAATACCTGACGCAGCACCTGACACTCTGACTCACTCTTTGACCCCCTCGGGGTATGCCTTGGACTTGAAGGGCGGTCTGATGCCTTCCATTGCCACCTTCCACGCCACCCCCTCTGGCGTCATGGTCTTGGCAAAGGGCGGTAGGCCCTCAAACATCTGAGCGAGGGGAGGAGGGGAGAGAGTGGACACACATTTCATGCCACCCCCTCTGGCGTCATGGTCTTGGCAAAGGGCGGCGGCCCCTCAAACCTCTGAGGGGGGAGAGGGAATCAGGAAGAGGGAGGGGGGAGGCACGAGGATGCAAGGAGAATGCAAGGAGAGGAAGGTGGAGTGAGGAGCGAGGGGGGGCAAGGGAAAGGGAAATGGAGGCAGGGGGAGGGAGGGGGGAGCAACACAACAGGCAGAAATCTCCTTAGTCATAACTGCTCACGAGACAACCGCACAAACAGCATGCCTCGCAGTCAATCATAGCCATCCATCTCACATTGCAATCCATCACAGCCGTCCATCTCATTTGGAGATCATCACAGCCGTCCATCTCATTTGGAGATCATCACAGCCGTCCATCTCATTTGGAGATCATCTCAGCCGTCCATCTCTCTTGGCAATCGATCGCAGCCGTCCATCGCATCTCACCTCATAGAAGATGACGATGAAGGAGTAGACGTCCACAGTGCGGTCGTACGCCTGGTGCTTGAACACCAGCAGCAATCACAGCCGTCCATCTCTTTGGCAGTCCATCACAGCCGTCCATCGCATCTCACCTCGTAGAAGATGACGGAGAAGGAGTAGACATCCACCGTGCGATCATACGCCTGGTGCTTGAACACCTCTGGGGGGAGGGGACCCAAGGAGCAGCGGCGATCGCAGCCATCCATTTCTATTGGCAATCAATCACAACCGTCCAACTCACCGGGCAGTCCATCACAGCCGTCCATCGCATCTCACCTCGTAGAAGATAACGGAGAAGGAGTAGACATCTACAGTGCGGTCGTATGCCTGGTGCTTGAACACCTCTGGCGCCATGTAGCGGTCTGGGGAGGTGGAGAGCGGTGGGGAGGGAGGAAAGCATATGATGTGCATTCAGTGCGATCATACGCCTGGTGCTTGAACACCTCTGGGGCCATGTAGCGGTCTGGGAGGAGGTGGAGGGAGGTAGAGGGGGTTGGAGGGAGGTAGAGGGGGGTGGAGGGAGCAGAGCAGTGAGTGACTGCAAACTTTGCTCTTCACCTGTGACCAATTCACTCACACAATTCTGCAGTCTCCCCAGTCATCTTGTGCATCTCATGCAGCGCATCCACCTTCACCAGCTTGCTCTGTCCAAGTGTTGAGACGCCCCATTACCCCCAGCACACCCACTCACACCTTGCCCCTGTACCCACACCACACCTGCCAGTCCCCCCAACGAAGCTACTCACAGCTGCCCGTCTCCCCAGTCATCTTGTACATCTCATGCAGCGCATTCACCTTCACCAGCTTGCTCAAACCGAAATCCGCCACCTTTAGATGATCCCCTTCATCTCGAATCAGGTTCCTGGAGGTACGAAGCAAGCAAGTGGGTTCACGCCACGAGCAGGCATGGGAGGAAGCGAAGGGAGGATTCAGGAGAGAGGAGCGCCACGCCAACCAGCTTGCTCAAACCGAAATCCGGCACCTTTAGATGATCGCCCTCATCCCGAATCAGGTTCCTGTCAGGTTGGCGTGAAGCGGGGAGAGGCACGGGCGGGAGGCAGGAGGAATGAGGGAGGGCGGAGTCTAGAAAATCACCACCAACCAGCTTTCTCAGACCGAAATCCGCCACCTTTAGATGATCGCCCTCATCCCGAATCAGGTTCCTGTCAGGTTGGCGTGAAGCGGGGAGAGGCACGGGCGGGAGGCAGGAGGAATGAGGGAGGGCGGAGTCTAGAAAATCACCACCAACCAGCTTTCTCAGACCGAAATCCGCCACCTTTAGATGATCGCCCTCATCCCGAATCAGGTTCCTGTCAGGTTGGCGTGAAGCGGGGAGAGGCACGGGCGGGAGGCAGGAGGAATGAGGGAGGGCGGAGTCTAGAATATCACCACCAACCAGCTTTCTCATACCGAAATCCGCCACCTTTAGATGATCGCCCTCATCCCGAATCAGGTTCCTGTCAGGTTGGCGTGAAGCGGGGACAGGCACGGGCGGGAGGCAGGAGGAATGAGGGAGGGCGGAGTCTAGAAAATCACCACCAACCAGCTTGCTCAGACCGAAATCCGCCACCTTTAGATGATCGCCCTCATCCCGAATCAGGTTCCTGGCGGTACGAAGCATGCAACCAGGACCAAAAGGAAAGGAGAGCGAAGCACGCCGGAGTGTTTTTTTTTTGTTTTTTTTTGTTTTTGTTTTTTTTTTTTTTTTGTTACTTCCACAAAGCAAGGCGGAAAAGAACCATGAGTTGGGGGGTGAATGCCCGCCAGGCTTGGTTCAAGCAGGAGAAGCAAGTGAAGGTTAATTTGGCGAATTTTGACTCGACTCAAAAGTCAAAAGAACCATGAGTTGGGGTGAACGCCCGCCAGGCTTGGTTCCAGCCGGAGAAGCAAGTGAAGGTCGATCTGGCCCGCCGAGCATTAGTTTCGAGGTCGAGAGCTTACAGCGGGGACAAATCGTAGCTTGGCTTGAGGTTGAAACAGCTTATAGCGGGACCATACACACCTTGGTTTGAGGTCTCGGTGAATAATGGACTCGGGCTTGTGGTTGTGCAGGTAGTTCATTCCCCTGATTGATGGGGTGGGGAGGAGGGGGGAATGGGAAGAGAGAGGGGGAAGGGGAACACCAGGGGTGTTTGTGCGTGGGGGTATAGAGTGGGCTTGTGGGGAAGGAGTGGAAGGAAAGGGAACAGGAGGTGAGTTTATTGTGTAGAAGGAAGGTGACATGCACACGGGCTTATGGTTATGCATCGTTGTTCATTCCCATGATGCACTGGGATGGATGCACTGTGATGGATGCACTGGGATGGATGCACTGTGATGGACCCATACCCACAGCTATTTTAACAGTTCTTAAGGCACTCCAGAAGACAGCCTAGCCCCCCTCGTCTCGCAATCTCAATCAAAGCCCCTCACCTGGCTATGTCCAGCCCATATCCCACCGCTATTCTGGGCGGCAGGGCACCCTTTGCCTTGAGCACATCGTGTAGATCGCCCTGTGGGTGGGGTGAGAAGAGAAGGGGGAGGAGGGGTGTGGGGAGGAGGGAATGGGGTGATGAGAAACAGGGGTTTGCGCGGAGGATGGCGGCAGGGAGGATACATGCATACTGGCACATGCACAGGAGATAATACTCACCCCAGGCAGATTCTCGGTGACGAGGCACAGGGGAGGGGAGGGGAGGGGAGGGGAGGGGAGCGCGGCGGGTGCGTGACACAGCCCAGGAACTGCACTGATAGGCAGCTTACACTACAGCATGCATGCACCTCCCATTCAGCACTCTGCAGTGCAGCGAGACGCACCCCAGGGAGGAACTCGGTGACGAGGCACAGTGGAGGCCGGCGGGTGACGCACCCCAGGAACTGCACGATGTTGGGGTGCCGCAGCTTGGGCAGCAGAAACATTTCGTCCCGGAATTCTCTCCTGCCCGCCATCAGGGAAAAGTGCAATGAGAAGGAATATACACATGTATACAAATATACATATGCATATACACGTAAATATATATGTGTATACACACACACACACGCTTAGACACATCGTGTCATCATTATATTTTAGAAATCTTAAAGTATGCTGGCGGGGGGGGGGGGGGCAACCAAAGAGCAGACAGGCACAGGGGAAGAGGCACTCACATGATCTGATCTGCACGTCACCTGACAGGCCCGGCAGAATTGTCTTGGGCAGCCACTGGAGCGCTCATTCATTCACAGGGGAGGATCAGCAAGAAGCAACCCAAGAGCCCCCACCATGGGGAAGGGGCACTCACGTGATCTGCACGCCATCTGACAGGCCTGGCAGAATTGCCTTGGTGGCCACGGGCCCACGGGGGTGCCTCTCCACATGACAAAAGAGCAGCGAATCTCGGCAGACATGCAGACAGAGACACTCACGTGATCTGCACATCATCTGATAGACCCGGCAGGATTGTCTTGGCGGCCACGGGGGTGCTCAATCACAACAAGGGGAAGATCAGCAGGATATTATCTGAGAGCCCCGGTATTGGGAGGGGAGATGGGCACTCACGTGATCTGCACGTCATCTGATAGTCCCGGCAGGATTGTCTTGGCGGCCACGGGGGTGCTGAAAGCGACTTTGGAGCAGCGAAGGCATGGAAAAAGAAGACACTCACGTGATCTGCACGTCAGCCACGGGGGTGCTGAAAGCGTCTTTGGAGAAGCGAAGGCATGGAAAAAGAAGACACTCACGTGATCTGCACGTCATCTGATAGTCCCGGGAGAATTGTCTTGGCGGCCACGGGGGTGCCTCTCCACATGACACAAGAGCAGAGAATCTCGGCAGGCATGCAGAATGAGGCACTCACGTGATCTGCACGTCATCTGATAGTCCCGGCAGAATTGTCTTGGCGGCCACGGGGGTGCCTCTCCACATGACCCGCCTGATCTCACCGAACGCACCCTGGGATGAAAGGATGGGGGGGGACGAGAGAACGAGGGGGGAAAATGGGAGGGAAGGATGGGGGGAGGAGGGAGGGAGGGATGGGGGAAGGAGGGGGTGTGGATGGGGTGAGGAATGAGGGGGTGGGGAGTTGTTTCGAATTGCTGAAGCCCAGTTTGCACAGAATTATTTCACGGACGTCCCATGACAGAACACCTGCCTGCACACGACCACGCTCCCACTCTTTCGTTCTCAATCACACTCACTCACCCACACTCACTCACACGCTCACTCACATACTCTTACGCACTCACTCCCTCACTCGCACCCACCTTGCCTATGAGTTATAACTTGCTGAAGTTCAGCTCGGATGGATCTATCTCCCAGTCGTCCCACGAACGGCCATACACACTCACTCCCTCTCACACAATCACTCACACCCCCCCTCACTCACTCACCCTCACTCTCCCACTCACACCCACCTTGTCGATGAGCTTTGACTTGCTAAAGCCCAGCTCGGATGGGTCTATCTCCCAGTCGTCCCACGAATGAGCACCTACGCACACACAATTTTTCTCCCACTCTCATTCTCTCACACCCTCACTCACCCTCACTCTCCCACTCACACCCACCTTGCCGATGAGCTTTGACTTGCTAAAGTCCAGTTCGGATGGGTCTATCTCCCAGTCGTCCCAAGAAAATGAACACCTATTAACACCCTCGCTCCCATACTCTCTTTTTCTCACACAATCCTCACTCACTCACACCCACCTTGCCTATGAGCTTTGACTTGCTAAAGTCCAGCTCCGATGGGTCTATCTCCCAGTCGTCCGCTTCTGCACCCTGTGGGGGTGGTGTGGTGTGAGTGATGCAGTGTGGTGTGGCAAGGTTTGACAAGGTGTGGTTTGGGATGATGGAGCGGTGGGTGTGATATGTATGAGGTGCAGTGGGGTTCAGAGCGGGGGAATGTGGTGTTAAAAACAGACAAAAGCAGAAAAAAAATGGAGATGAAAAAGGCACCCCAGAAAGGGTTGTGTCTGTGAGTGAAGCAATTGTGTGCAATATATTTACACATTATTAAGTCGTAATACACTTATTGTGCACATGTGTCTCATAAGATATTAAAAAGAGGCACACATGCACCGCATTCCACCACTCACCCCCTCCACCAAAGATCCCCTCCTCACTGTCAGCACACACACATACTGCATGCACACTATCCGACCACTCCTCACCACTCCTCACCACTCACCCCCTCGATGCCCCCATGCTTTAAGAGAACTTGAATGATCTCCGGAAACCGCCCCTTCTTCCCCTCCCTTAGCGCATCTCTCATCCCTGTCAGCACAAGGACCATATGCACCCCCTCCCACCGCTCCTCACCACTCACCCCCTCAATGCCGCCATGCTTCAACAGCACTTGTATGATCTCCGGAAACTGCCCCTTCTTCCCCCCCCTTATCACTGCAACGCACTTTTCCTCCCTGTCAGCACAACAAGCACCATATGCACCCCCTCTTACCGCTCCTCACCACTCACCCCCTCAATGCCGCCATGCTTCAACAGCACTTGTATGATCTCCGGAAACTGCCCCTTCTTCCCCTCCCGCATGGCCTTGCGCGCGTCTGTCAGAGGCTGCACCGGGGGGAGAGGGGGAGGGAATGTGTGGGTCAGGGTGGGGGGAAGTGAGGGTCAGGGACAAGGGGAGCACTTGTATGATCTCGGGGAACTGCCCCTTCTTCCCCTCCCGCATGGCCTTGCGCGCGTCTGTCAGTGGCTGTGCAGGGGGAGGGTGGGGGGAAGAAGGGGGGGGTGTGGGGGAAGGGTGGGGGGGGGGGTGGGGGGGGGGATTCGGAGAAGAAGGATGTATGTGCAGGGACACAAAGGGGAAGCGATAGCATGGACTTTTTTAGTCAACTTTTGAGACGTCGATTCAGAAGTCATTCAGAACATAGCACCCGTCCCCCTCCCGGCCCCCCCTCCTCCTCCCCCTACCTCCATTTGTTCCATCCCCCTACACCCGTTACTGACGGACCGTATGGCCCCATCTATCGCGCGGGTTGACTCTCGCGCCGCGCGCCAGCAGCAGTTTAAGCACGCCCAGGTGGCCCTCGCACGCGGCGAGGTGTATCGCGGACCGCCCGTCGTAATCCGCGCTATTGACGTCCGCGCCTTCGTCCAGAAGCCGCGTCAACTCGTCCACGTCGCCCTGGCTCGCGACGAAAATCATGTTCGTCATTCGCGAAAGCTGGTCCTGCCACTTGCTCTGCGACGCCGACCCCTGCGAATGCGACGAACCATGCGACCCGTGCGATCCGTCACGCGCGCTTCCGCCTCCGTCGCCGCCGACTCCGCCTCCGCCGCCGCCGGCACCGCTGTGGCTGGGGCCAGCAGCAGAACTGCCGTTTACTACGGCGGGAGTCGCGCGTGCGCCTGATCCCGCGGCTGCGGGACTTCCGCCGACTGCTGCTGCGGGAGCTCCCGCGGACGCTCCGCCAACTCCCCTTCCAGCCCCCATGAGCGCAGCTTCCCCCTGCTGATATCACTCCGCCTACCCTTCCCCCCTTGCGCGAACTGTATCACCGCGCTGAATTTCCCAGTCCTAACTTGTAACTTCTACGTCGCTGCTACAGCCGCTGCTACAGGCGAGCTTGTGTTGAGATGCCACGTGGACGCCTGCATGGAACACACCGACACTCCTCCACCCGAGCTTACTACCCTCGCGACATTCCTATGATCGCGTCTTTCGCAATCCGTCGCATGGCGACGATCCTCCGCGTCGCTGTCAAGGTTGCGCGACAGCCAGACTGTGCGGGAAAAAAAGAGCGAAAGCTCGAGTTGCTTCCTTCACGCCAAGTAAGCGAAGCCTGGCATTGCTTCGAAACGCTTTGTAATGTAACAGGACGAGAACCGCGTCGTTTCAGTGAAGCAGGATAAGACAACTAGCGTAGCTTTTGACGCGACGTCGTCTCACTCAAGTCGGAGAACAATCCGCGCTACGATATCGCTAGGCGTGCGGAAAGACGAGCGGGAAAAGCGGAATCACGGAGGTGGAAAGTACCGTACGCCCGTAAGAACCTTTGCACAATGCAGTGGGCGGGAAGTAGTGGGCGGGAAGTATTTCTAATATTTGGTCCTAGGTGACGAGAACGATCTGGGCATACTTGGCATATCAAACTGAGCAAACTATTCGTCGATGCGGCTCGTGTGGACGCCAGGAAAACAAATCAACACTACGTAGAATGGAAGAGAACTTGTTCACTACTGTGGTCCACGTGAGCACTACTTCACATCACATGATAAGTGTGAGGAGAAGGCGGTGTTGGGGAAGAAAAGGTGTGAAGTGGAAAGTTGAGAAGACGCGGGCGGGTAGGGCAGTATTGGCGGGAAAATATTATCCTACCTGCATCACACACAAGTCTCGAGGGAGTGTTCTGCCCACGCGTTCGTGTGCTGATCGTCCCGTGTTTCCCAGTAAGATTCTTCACGGTTAACAGCGGTTCTGGTACATCTTAGAAACGATTTCAAGGCGTTCTGCTCCACCAACTTCAAGGGGGACCAGGTTGCTGCAAATCCTGCCACACCTTGACAACCAAAAGGTTCTTTTGAGATCCAGAAATACGCTGACAGAAGCTTTACTTTTGCGCTTCTACAAGATTGCTCAGGAAAAAAAAAATGCTGTATCGCCTGCAACACTAAGTGTGTGTAAGGTTCTAAGTGTGTTCTGTCAGCAGCACAATGCATTTCCGAAATTGATTCAAGAGCAGAATTGTCAAAGAGGATCCGCCAATACACTTCGGCGCAAGGGGCCACCCACTTCCGCTTGCTGCAACCTGGGCACAGGTGATTCGCTCCGCCGTTGCTTCTGTCAGAGAATGCCGTGCCTAGCCGACGAGCACGTGGTCAGCTTCCCTGCGAAAAGGGCACCCTGCCCCACCCAACCCAGACCAGAAGGCACAACCACACCCACGTGGGGGAAAAGGGACAGTATTTACGCTATATAGCTAGCTTCAGTAATGTTCCGTCTTCAGTAATGTCTGCATAACTTCCATATCTAATGCATACATAGTCCAACAATACTTTTCCAACTCCACTCCCGCCAATGCTTCTGCTCAAGTTCCTGCTCGTGCTCTCCCCACGTGTGTGGTTCAATCTTCAGTCGTCTCAAAAATCATTGCAGCATTCAGGCTCCTGCTTGCCATTCCCTTCCGTTCCATGTAGACCTGGCCTCTGTGGGGCGCCGCATGTACGCATCAGCGAGGATTTCGCCAGGAGTCAGCGCCAATCAATGTTTTGTGTCGCTCGGTGTCCTTGTGTTATAAGCGAAACAGGTGGCTACATTAACGCTTACTTAGTAATTGTTGTTTAATTTGGTTGGTGATTATTTTACTGAGAATCGTCCTGGCTCGACCTGCATCCGCCATTCCTTCCAGCCTTTTTCCGTAATCAGCTTTAGATTGGTCAGCCACTTCGACGTAAAATTACCACGAATCCACGTGGCAGTAACTCAGCCATTCATGGATACACCGTCATCTGAGCCCGCGTTGGCGCCAGATTCTTCCACGTCAGCAGAGGACGTGGAGGAGGTTGAGATTGAGGTGGTGGACGAGCCGCGTCGCGCGGATTTTCAGGAGAAAGTGCGGCGTTTGCGGCAGGTCTTGCGGGATCGCGGGATCCAGTCTGCGCTGATCTCGTCCGTCCCTAATTTCTTCTGGCTCACATCCGGCGGTCGAAATTACGTCAGCCTTTATACTCAGCAGGTAGGGTTACGTTACGTACTAAGGCAATGCCAGACGAAAGGAATGGTGGTTACCGGGTCACCAAAATTTCATACTTCCCCGAATTCCGATTCAGAGTGTAACATTTATATTTGTTCATGCCGACAGGGTGGTAACCAGTAACATTGATTCCACCGCTCCGCCCCCAGGCTAGATATCAGTGGTCATTCCACCGCTCCGCCCGCACCACACTGTCGTCCAATCGTTTCAGGTAGTGGCGTCTATGTTTGTGGACGCGGACAGGGTGGTGCTGGTAACCAGTAACGTCGAGGCAGAATGCATCTCAGGGAGCAACTTTGTCATTCACAAGGAGTGAATTATCCCTTCCCTCCCCCCTCGTTTCAGGGAGTGGCGTCTATGTTCGTGGACGCGGACAGGGTGGTGCTGGTTACCAGTAACATCAAGGCAGACTCGTGTTACTCTGTCGTTCACCAGGAGCGAATTCTCCTTTCTTCCCCCCTCTCCCCCTGTCTCCCCCCCACCCCCATTTCAGGGAGTGGCGTCTATGTTTGTGGACGCGGACAGGGTGGTGCTGGTTACCAGTAACATCGAGGCCAAATGCTGTTCACTAATTGTTCTACACTAATAATCAACCCTACACCCTGGTTCCTGCAGGGAGTGGCCTCTATGTTCGTCGATGCCGACAGGGTGGTGCTGGTAACCAGTAACATCGAGGCGGAGCGAATCACAGCAGAAGAGCTCGCAGGGCTTGGCAGTATTCAGGTGTTCGCCAAGCCATGGTTCTGGGATGACTCGGCCCACTTGAACAGGTGGGTGGGGTAAGGAGAGATATCGTACAGGTACAGTACATTTTGACGCAATAGGTTTGGTACAGTAGATTTTGGACTTCACACTGTACAGTGCAATACGAATGGCAGCATTCAGGTGTTCGCCAAGCCGTGGTTCTGGGATGACTCGGCCCACTTGAACAGGTGGGGAGGAAGGGAGATTCAATACAATATTTGTGGTACAGTGAAATTAATACTGTAGATTTGGCACACTAAATAGTAACACGTGAGAGAGTACAGGACTTGGCAGTATTCAGGTGTTCGCCAAGCCGTGGTTCTGGGACGACTCTGCTCACTTGAACAGGTGAGATGGAGGAAATGAGATGTAGTACAGTAGTTTTGGTACAGTAAACATGTTGCAGTATGTTTGGTACAGTAGATTTGGCACCTCACAGTGTAACAGGTGAGGAAGTGCAGTGAATGGCAGCATTCAGGTGTTCGCCAAGCCGTGGTTCTGGGACGACTCGGCCCACTTGAACAGGTGGTATGGAGAAAGATATACTTGGTACAGTGTTTTACTGTATTGTGTTTGGCACAATACATGGTGGTAGCAGGTGAGGCAGTGGAATACGAATGGCAGCATTCAGGTGTTCGCCAAGCAGTGGTTCTGGGGCGACTCTGCTCACTTGAACAGGTAGACGGGGAAAATATTTGATAGCATTTAGGTTGGTACTGTATACTTGGCATATTACATGGTCGAGGCAGCACAATGAATAGCAGCATTCAGGTGTTCGCCAAGCCGTAAAAGTAGAAAGTTGTTGTTTGCTTGAACATACTTTGTGAAAAAATTGATGGTAACCAGTTTCGGCTTATTAGCCTTCTTCAGACCACAAAGCTAGAAATGAAAGCAAACTAGGGCTATATACTAACCCCAAGGCTCCACGCGAGGCATTCCTTTGCAGGGCCAGGGGGGAGTACTGTACTGTAGAAACAAAAGAGAACTACATGTACACTAGCACTTATGAGCAGAAATTGAAAAATTACCTACTCTCTTCGGTAACCTCCAAGCAAGTATAGCTCTTCGTGTAGAAAAAGTTCCGTGTGACATTGTAACGAGCTGACTTTTGAGTCGACTCAAAAGGCAGCACAATGAATGGCAGCATTCAGGTGTTCGCCAAGCCGTGGTTCTGGGACGAGAACATAAAAACTGTTACAGTTGTTCTTGTGCAGTATACACCTGACACAATAGGTCTGATACATTAGATTTGGCACAATACATGGGAACAGGTGAGGCAGTGGAACAGTAAATGGCTGGCAGCAGTCAGGAGTGAGTTCGCCAAGCTGTGCTTCATGACTCATGAACCATCCAGGCTCGTGACTAGTTTTGAGACGTCTCAAAACCATCCAGTCCAGGCTCGTGACTAGTTTTGAGACGTCTCAAAACCATCCAGTCCAGGCTCGTGACTCACATACCTTCCCGGCTCATGATGACTCTAGGCTGATTTTTCAGGCGCCTCAAAAACCCTCTAGGTGGCAGGTTCAAGCCCGAGGCCAACACAAGGAACATGACTCGTTCCCCCCACTCCCCCCGCTCGCACATCACCCCATCTCTTCCCATCCCCATTCCCACATCCTCTCATCCTACTTATTCCTCCATCCCCCATACCTATCCTGCCAACACCCCCTCTAGGCTCATGACTCTAGGTCGCGGGTTCAAGCCCGAGCCAGGCACAGGGGACATGACTCATTCACCCCTCCTCCGCCTCCCCCATCTCCCATAGCCCCAATCCCCTCCATTCCCCCCAATTTCCTGAACTCCCCCATTCCCCTCATCCCCCCCAATCCCCTCATTCCCCCCATCCCCGTTCCAGGCTCATGACTCTAGGTCGGGGGTTCAAGCCAACCCGACATGACTCGTTCCCCCATCCCCCCATCTCCCCCTTTTTCCCGTTCCCTCATCCCCCCCATTCCCCGAATCACCCCCTCCCCGCATCCCCACGCCCAGGCTCATGACTCTAGGTCGCGGGTTCAAACTCGAGCCAGACACAGGGGACATGACCGTTCCTTCCGTCCCCCCGTCTCCCCTCCATCTTTCCATCCCACTTTCTCCCCAATTTTCGCCGAACCCACTTCCCGGCTCTAGGTCGCGGGTTCAAGCCTGAGCCAGATACAGGGGACATGACTCGTTCCCCCATCTCCCCGTCCCCCTCTTCTGCTCGTTCCCCCAATCCCCCCCTCCAATGTTCCCCCCATCCAGGCTCATGACTCTAGGTCGAGGGTTCAAGCCCGAGCCTGACACAGGGGACATTCTCACCCCGATATTCGCTGAGCTAAGAGCCACTCTTACCCCCTTCGAAGTGGGTAAATACCGGATTCTAGCCCGGCAGTGCGGGGAGCTCCTGGGGGAGGTGGCGCGGGGGTTAAGGAGGGGGATGACTGAGAAGGAGGTGGCAGGGGCGGTGGCGGGCGCGTGTTACTCGAGGGGAATTCACCCTATTTTATTGCTGGTGGGGGCAGATGAGAGGATGGACAAGTGGCGGCATCCGCTGCCCACTTCTAGTGTTGCAAAGGTGAGAAAGAGAGTGAGTAAATGAGGGAGGGTGAGTGAGTGAGGGAGTGAATGAGTGAGTGAGGTTGAGTGAGAGAGTGAATGAGTGAGTGAGGGAGGGCGAGAAAGTGAATGAGTTGGGTTTGGTTAGCTAGCGTAGGTCAGAAGCTCCAATGCTGCTGGAGTAGGGTGTTTACCAGCCTGCTTATTTTTTTCTCCACAATTCCCCATTTTAGTGCACCCCCCCTCCCCGCATCCCCTACTCGCCTCCCTGCTCCCTCTTCCCCATCCGTTTCTTTGTCCTTTTCCCCCTTTCCCCCCCTTCCCCCCCAACCCAACGTTCATTAAAGTTACGGCTCATCATAACCCTCTCCGGTTGGCGTCACGGGCTTATCGCCTCTCTCTCCCGCGTCATCCACTACCTGCTCCCCTCCGACTCGCCCCTTCGATACAAGCACGCCGCTGTCACCTACGTGGATAGCGTTGTCATCGCCCTCCCTGCTAGCTCTTCCTCTTCCGCATCTATTTTTGTAACCTTTTCTCCTCTCTCGCCCTCCACCTTTCCCCCTTACGCCCCCTCCCTCGTTACAGTCACGCCTTCTCATAACCCTCTCCGGGCGGCGTCACGGGCTTATCGCCTCTCTCTCCCGCGTCATCCACTTCGGCCCGCTCCCCTCCGACTCGCCCCTTCGCCACAAGCACACAGCTGTCACCTACGTGGACAGCGTTGCCATCGCCAGCACGCGTGTCGGCGCCACGTCAGACACAATCATGGCGAGAATCCAACGGGCCTATGAGGAGAGAGGGTTTCGGGATGAGTGGCTGCATCAGCACCAAGGGGGGGCGACGGGGTATCGGACTAGGGAGTGGAAAGCGGAACCGGGTGTACGGTATTATGTGGGCTCGCCACAAGCGTTTGCATGGAATCCGTCTATAGCGGGTACAAGATCGGAAGATACGATCTTGGTGGGGGGTGGTGGGGGGGAGGGTAGTGGAGTGGGGGATGGAGGGGGGGATGGGGGAATGGAGGGGGCGTGCCCGGAGGTCTTGACAGCGACTCCTGATTGGCCGATGATTCGACATGTCGTTGATGGGATTGAAATCATGCGACCAGATGTGTTGGAAATCTTGGACTGATGTAGCTACTACCAGTATCAGTACGTTTGTTTCAGCCACTAGAGCACAGCAATTCCAATGTTATTTCTCCATGAGTACCAATGGGGTTGCTTTTTCCCGTACGTTTGTTGTAAGTCATCTTACAGTGCGATAGATAGCGCCTTGCAGACAGAGTCCCAATTTCCTGTGGTGCAAGTGTGAATGATAATAGTGCCGCATTTCATTAACAAAATGCACAATATATAACACATTCAAAACAAAATCTCACAAAACCTATGTACACCCTACACTCAGATCACTCATCAATTGACTGGCGGCTCTGCAGTTCCTAACCAGAGCACACGCACTTTATGCTTCCCGAGCATTACAAACCAAGGAGGAACCCCGGCAGCAGGCAGATTGCTGGCAGCCGCGCATTATGGCAATTCCAGTCATGCACAGTTGAACTCCTCTAGCGTTTTCAGCTATCCTAGCTTCACGATTTAGTCTTCATGCCTGGCCTTGAGCATGCGGAAGGCTGTGAGCTCGTCACGGATTTTAGCTGGAATGGGAGTCAGACCAAGAAAGCATTGGGGGAGGGGTTGGGGAAGAGGGTATTGTCATAATGGTATGAAACTGGCACAGTAGCAGCAAATATGGGCAGTGTTCCCTGAAAGTGATACAGATGGAGAGCATTTCTGTTGGTAATCCCACCATTCTCATACTCCCTTACGGTTCATGCCCATACCTGCATCATTGAACCGCTCCTCTTCTATGGCCTTCTGCATGTCTTGACGCAGTCTGAACTCCGCTGTGAGGTCTTGCAGAACCATGCTTGACGCATCAGGCCTGCAATCAGCAACGTTTTTATCAATTGGAAAACTCAGTTTGTGTACCAGTAACGATTTCCACATATACTTTCAACGCAATGCAAACTCTCAGCATTTATGGAGAGCAAAATGCCCAGGATGCAGCACAGCATGGTTCGTTCCTCTGCGCTTCCCAATGTTGCAATTGCATTGTTCCATCCAACAATAGACTGACTCACATGTCCTCCTCTGTGGGCGCAAAGTTGCGCCGGCGAACTGTCCGGCCAGAACGGGCTGCTGGCTGAGGCGCGGTGCTGATGACTCTCACGCCATCTCCAACTGCCAGAGCCCTGTTCACCTGAATGGGCACCTGGAAATCGAGAAGCAAAACAATTGGCATGCAAAAGAAGTAAGGATGGACATGCAGAGTGCGAAATGGCCATGAATAAACGTTAGTACAGAAATACCATGTTTGTTTTTTTATCTGATAAAAAAACGAAAAGACGTACCCTCGCTCTGATTGCCAGGTTGATAGCATCAGATGGCCTCAGGTCAAGACTGAATACCGTTCCTCCACCTTCGCCAACCTGTAGGGTGTGATTAATACAAACAACCAGCACAAACAGCGGTTATAATTTCCATTCCAGGGTGGCAGAGAGAAGAAATTTCCGTGAATGGCTGTTGGTGGTCCAGGATATTTACCTTCTCGAGGTAGATTCGGGCATAGTACGCCTCGCACACACGGTGAGTGACGCGGACCAGCTTCACCTGTAACAGAGCAACACGGGTAACGTCAATTGGGATCATCAGTGTCGAAAACCAGAACATAAAAGCTGCGCTGCTTGCTCTTTTACTGTTCTTTGCTTCTTTTGTTCTTTAAGCTGATGTTGCACTGGTTCGCTGTATCCGTACCTTGTATCCCATCATGTCAATCATGTCCCTCATCACCAGGTACACCGTTGGCCTGGCCTGAACACATAACAGAAGAGAATCAACGTCAGAAAAGTCAAGTGGCAAAATAATTGTTTCCGACGAAGGCTTCTCGATGTGGTTGAAGTTCGCAAGTACTCACGAGTGGGACATTTCGGATGGCTTCTTGGGCCATTTGGCTTGGCAAGTCCACTGCGAAACGACAATGAAAGAGAGAAGGAGCGAGAACAATCAACGACAAAGGATAGGAACGAGAACAATCTGCGAACAGGTGCTCGGCAAATCAGCGGGCAAAGAAAGCCATCTGGATAACAGTGAGAGCAGATAGTTTAAAGAACTGTTATCTGAATTCACAGAGAGCGGTGCCAATATCTACTTACAGACAATTACTGGGAGAAGAATGCCGCTTCCGTCCTCGAGCTTGAGAACGATGGCCGGCTGAGCCGTGTAATCAGGGAGCCTTGCGCCGTCGGGGTTGGTGTGAGCGCATTTCAGAAGCGAGCCGTCGGACATCTTGACGACGAAACCATCCACGTTGCTTTTCACTTCATCTATGCAATTTACCAAGCAAGAAAGCAAGCAATCCACCATCAAGCAATTAGGCAAGCAAGCAGGTCAAATTGGTTAGAATAAATGCTTTAGTCAAAGGCAACGTGCAACCTACGCGTCACATTCAGAATTGAGCACGTTTTGCATAGACCAAAGTGGACGCTGAATGACATGTTAACCAATCATACTTCCCGGAAGTTTTTTTAACTTACTTGCTTCGACGACAGTGGCTAGGGCGTACTCCATGTCATCCTCCTGAAACCCTTCGGACATTTTGCCCTTGAAGAATTCCATAGTGGCCTCGATTTTGCCGGACACGAATCTTTCCACAACCCTAGAAGAGCTTCTTCTTGCGGCTTTTGATGCAAGCTGGCTGCCGAGCATAGATTGTTGCTTCCATGGCGTCACAGAGACTCCGTTAAATGCAGACTCTAGTTTCGCGGAGGAACAATTTGAGATGCCGCCTGCGGGAGCAGCTACGCGCGGAACGGATGCAGACACGGCCGCCATAATTGCGATTTCTTGCTCAGCCGTTCACACCCTTCAAGCAAGCAGTTCTACTGCCGTGGCCTTTGGGTCACCACAGCCACAACTGCTGTTGAGCAATGAAGGGAGAAGCCAGCTGATTGCAGTCTGCTTCTAATCTCACAGACAGTGTATCTTATGAGTTTATTTATCCGTCATTGCTCAGTAGCCTGGCATATATTAGCATGTTGACGCCATGAGAAAAGCTTTGCAGGGACTGAGGATTGCTCGAAACTCAACCAATCTCTGCTACTGGTGGTTGGAAAAGTGTGTAAGCTTTCAGTCACTCCCGTATCCCACACAACCCACCTTTCATCTTATTGCATTCATTGTCACCCCTTTGAAACCACGTTCCTTCGCCACCCAACTTCTCGTGGCCACAAAAAATGCCATCCCATCTGACAATCTGCGACCAATCTGAATATGGTTACCATGTGATGCATGAGCATAAAGTGCTGACGAACTCTGATAATCGTTTCGTGAGTGCACCATTCTTCGCAAAAGCATAGCACTCGGCCATACTCGCACTGCGGTTGTCCTGTCCCGTCACTCTCCATGCGCCTCGGTATAGTCAAGAGGGAGGATTTGACGAGATTCCGAACCATCTTGATGGGAGAGTCATCCATAACCAGCACCAATCGCAAGCTTGTCTGTGGCTCGTGGTGAGTCACTCGAAATGCCCGTCCAATCAAAGGTCGTCTATTCATCCCAAGACATCAAAAGACACCCTGGCATGTGCTCAAGATGACTGGCGGTTCCTCGAGTCAACTTGCGCCTCGCCTGACCCCTCTGATCTTATTGGACAAACGTGAGTGGTGGGTACGTTTGCCCGTTCGTGTGGGGAAATCCTCGGCAATCGGATGAGAGATGAGGGCCACAGGAGACTTGTGATGAGTCACTGCTTCAGCATCAATGGCTGCTGTTTCACGTCGGATCCAGTGGTTGACACGTGGTACACGTAGCGCTGATGCAAGAGAATTCTATTGTCCAATCATAGACATCGAGGATGTTCTCGTTTCAGTTTGCTTCACTTCTCTAGTTGGTGCGTAAGAATGTATATGTAAGTCAGCCATGACATTCGGTTTTGTGATCAGGCCATTATCAAAAGCCGATACAGCATGGGCTGAGACTAGCCCACAAAGCGGCACCAGCCTAGAACAAACCCCATGGCAAAAGAATGTGAAAAAAAACAAACAAAAAAAACGACAAAAGCGTTTTTTTTTTTTTTAGGTGTAGACCTACAATTGATGGAAGGCAGCACAGCACATGGCCAGCTGCTCACCTCTTTTAACTCATTGAAGAAAGTTTGACCTACATTCTGCTCATTCCTAGCAAGCTGCATGTTCCACAGGCACTGCGTACCCAGCAACATGGACCCTCGCCTTATAAGCATGATCCGACTACATCAGACCCAACCCAAATCAACCTACCTACCCACCCTAGCCTTTCAGCACATAAGGCCACACCTCCCTACAGCCATCAAAAGGTTTGCTTTCTGTCACAAGAGCATGCTTCATTTGAAAACCTTGAGCCTCCTGAATGTGTGGTCCAGGTAGCCTGCCACAATACATACACACACCCTGCCCACACCCAGTCAGCCCCAGCCCAACCCACCCACATCCAGCCAGGCCCAGTCACATCCAGCCATGCCCAGCCACACCCAGCCATGCCCAGCCACACCCAGCCATGCCCAGTCACATCCAGCCAGGCCCAGTCACACCCAGCCATGCCCAGTCACACCCAGCCATGCCCAGTCACACCCAGCCATGCCCAGTCACACCCAGCCACGCCCAGTCACACCCAGCCACGCCCAGTCACACCCAGCCAGGACCGGCCACACCCAGCAAGGCCCAGGCACCAGTTCACAGTGGCCTTGACACCTTCAACCCACCGCTTCTCTTCCCCCTTATTCCCCCCCACTCCTCTTCCTCCCCCCCCACACACCTCTTGCTCTCCCCCCAACTCACCACGCACTCTCCTCTGCTTCAGATCCTTCCTGAGCCTCTACCTGTGGTGGCACTAACCCCGCCACCTAAACTTGTTGAGTTTATTGAAAAAACAACATACGGTAGCATCAATCCCCAACCCCGCCACCAACCTGTTCTGCTGCAACCGTGCACATTCGCGCCTGATCAGCCTCCAACCCACCTCCTTGAATGAGAACCTACCTGCGCTCTACCTATAGTACCATCAACCCAATCAACGTGCTCCGTTGCTGCTGCCACTGCTGCTGCCGCTGCTGCTGCTGCTGCTGCTGCTGCTGCTGCTGCTGCTGCTGCTGCTGCTGCTGCTGCTGCTGCTGCTGCTGCTGCTCGTCTTAAGCACCGCATGCAGCGCACTCGCGTCTTACCAGACTCCCTTCCACCAAGCGCAGCCGCTGGCACAGATCTGCTACTGCCTCTACGTCCATTCATTCCAAAGCTTGACCCCCCCGCTTACCTTCACTTCACCTCCTCCCTTCCGTCTCCTTTCACCTCCTCCCTTAACCTCCTTCCTGCACCTCCTCCCTTCACGATCAGCCGCCATTCTCCGCTTGCCAAAGAAGTACCCAAGCAACGACTTCTTCTGAGGTGACTTCTGAATCCACAAAAGCCTCCTCCATCCACGGCCACCAGCCGTTCACCGCTTGCCAAAGAAGTACCCAAACAACGTTTTTTTCTGAGGCGCAGCAGCCGCCGCCGCTCCTTTCTTCTCATGCCCCTTACTCGCACCACCACCACCACCGCCACCACCCTTAGAACCAGCAGCAGCAGCAGCAGCAGCAGCAGGCGGAGCAGCATCCGCATCCTTCTCCCCCTTGGTCTGCTCCGCGAATTTCTGAAGCATGGGCAGCACCACCGTTTCCAGGTCCGGCCGGTTCGTCCTGTCCCTGCACTTGAGCGCCGCCTCAGCAACCTCCTTCGCAATTTCCGGGTTCCACTGAACCGTCTTATCCAAATGATCCAGAATCCCCTCCAGCCCGAATTTCGCAAACTCCAGCACCTTATTCACCTTCTCTCCCGTCAGCAGCTGCAGGATCACCAGCCCGAGCCCGTACAGATCCGACTGCGGACCGTATTTCCCGGTGCGAAGCAGCAACGGGTCGATGTAACCCACCGTTCCCCAGATTGACGAGTCGTTTGCGGGGAGGAACTTCGCCAGACCGACTCCTCCGACCTTACAGGACAGGTCCTCGTTCAACATGACGTTTCCGGGCTTCACGTCCTGATGAAGGATCGGCGGGTCCAGATGGTGGAGGAACAGCAGCGCCTCTGACGCCTCCGCCGCGATCCGCAGCCGGTGCTTCTGCTTCATCGTTTTCCGTCCCCCCTCCGTCAGCAGACGGTCCTCCAGGGTTCCCCCAGGGAGCGACTCGTACACGATACAGCGTGCCTCGGGGTTGTACCCGAGGAGCTTGACCAGATGCGGGTGGTCCGCGCGCGTGAGGATGGTCACTTCGCGGGTGAATTTCTCCGCCGCCTGGCGGGTGTTATCGGGGTTCAGCTTCATTACAAGCACGGGGGAACCGTCCGCGAGCTTTCCGCGGTAGCCCGTGCCGAAGCCGCCACGACCGAGCGAGTTTTCCCGCGAGTAGTTATTCGTGGCCTCGTCGAGCTCCTCTCCTGAGAACGTCTTTAAAACGGCCTCGCTCCCCATCGTGATCGTCTGCTGCTGCTACTGCTGTTGGTGACGGTTTTCCCTAACAACAAAAAATGCCGTTCGGTGTTAAAGTCGAAGTTATCCCCACATCGTACGGCTTCTATCGCTTTATGACCCGGAAGGTGGACATCAGGCAGTGCTACACAGCTGGCTGTTCTGAGTCTGTTGGCATAAACAGCTGGTTCCAGTGAAACAGCTATAGTCGCTAGTCCGATAGCTTTAAGCCTTCGCCTGATCAAGCGGCGAAACTGGTGGGAGTCGGGAAGGAATCATCAGGGCGATCAAGAGAATAAGGCATGGAGCAGGACATTGATTCAAAGTAAGTTATGGATAATGAAGTGAAGCCCATTACCATTTGAGACAAGTCCATGTAGAATAGGCCGCATAAGGTAATCACGGCAGTTACGAAATATTATACCGATAATGCGCACCAGGATCGGTACACTGATGTTATGCTTGGTCACAGTTACGGCTTCCTTCAGTTAATAGAGACGGTACAATGCTGACGGGGAAACAACAATAGCTAAGGTGGACGATGTGTGGAAGGATGACACGAGAAAGTGAAGGAACTGCACATGTATTGAGCTTACCCAAGATCACTGGCTAGAGTACAACTTCGGAAAGCAGGGAGGGCTTTACGCGGAAAGCAGGGGAGTCCAATGCTTAGCAGCACTTGTGGTCTTGAGTTGAAAAACTGGAAGTTAATATGCGCGAGGAAAACCAAGGGGCTGCCGTTAGTCACGGACAGGCTCAACGACAACCTTCTCTTGCAGCTTTCAAACTACCTTCTCGACCCTCGAGCTTCGGTCTCTATTTCAGTCTTCCTTCAACCTGCTTCAACTGCTGGATGGGGATGCCTTCAGTTCTGTTCTGGTTGGCTGTCTCCTCCTCCTGAGCCTTGATGTTGTCGCAGAGTCGCTGCACCCTTCCCCTGATTCTGTCGCGGACGAAGGGGGAGCGAAGCGCAGCTTTGGCGAAGTTGACCAAGCGGAAGTGGTTGCTGGATTGGTTGGAATTGCCGTTTTCAGTTTTCTTGTTGCACTGTTGGCTTTTGGAATTTACACAGTTCCCGAACTCGGTAGCCCGGGAAGGTCTGATAGATTGCAGAGTTGTACTGGCTGAAAAAAACTAGGCTCGAAATACGTAGCAAGGTGGAATTGATGATGAATCTGTAAAAATACGAGTACCAGATCAGGACCCTGCCACTGGTTCCGAACTGGCCACTGTAAAAGGTTTTCTCAGCGAGGCCACTGTAATGATATCACGGGCAGCTTACAATGGTTGAGCGCGGGCCAACCTCGAAAGGTTTCAGGGACCAGGTGCAGTAGTGGGTCGCTTGGAGGAGATGGTGGAAGGGAAAAGAATTGCGGCAGCCAATGAGAAGCTGAGCCAGATGAGGACTGCCCGCCTGCGCGATTCCGGGAAAGTGCGGAATCTCCAGTGGCTGCAATTCCGCATGGTGGGGCTCCGGTTCGATTACAGTTCCATACACAGTTCCGCTTCGAAACAGGTTTGCGAGAAAATGGTACATACGGTATCTTCCAAATATTTCCACTATCAATCTTCCCTTCCCTTCCCTTTCCTATGTTTCTTCTTTGCTGTTACACCACAACCCCTCCAACTCCCACTCCACGCTTCTCTACATCAAGAATACGTTCCTCATATATCCCTGCCAGAACCTTTCCTCCTACAAATAAGCACCACTACTCAACAATTCACGATCTGCATACGCACATGACCCTATTGGTTGTGTTGATAAGATACCCTCCTTGCGTTCCATCTCCATACCGCCTCACCTCAACTCACCCTTGGACATCCAATTCTGTTACGATATGAAACCTTACGAGAAGGCATTCCTGTATGCTACAGGGACCGACTCTAAAGTGTACGAAGCCGAGGAGTCAGAAGAGTCGAAGCGACACTCGTAACCGTCTGATCAAGACCTATGCAGGCAGAAACATTCGAAGTGAAAAGAGCGGGAACAGGTTTGAAACGGGTTCCCGCGCCGCACGGTTTGAACTACGCTGTAATAAGGGAATGTACCCCTTAGAGTACATGGCTAGTCTATGTCGTTTCGATTTCCTTTGTATTTCCTATATAAACTCAATGTATGCATGCTATTATCATCTCAGTCATTTACATTCACTCTGACCTGAGTTCACTACTTCCGCTGCAATATCACCCTGCGATCAACCCTGAGCGATCCTTCGCTAAGTCCCACTTGGGATTGTAACATGGTATGAGAGCAACTCAGGGATTCTTCGCAACTTCACTTCCGTAAAATTCGCCGAATCAAGATCTGGCGAGCGGCACACGCTCCAAGACAAAGATGGCTGGAGGATCCGGAGGCCAAGCGAATCTGACGGCCGAAGGACAAACCAACCCGGCTGCGACAAATGAGGCGACAACTACGATCAGCACTGCCGCACTCGAGCAGTTATTTTCGCGACTATCAACTATGGAGAAAGTGTGAATCAAGAAAACAGGAATGAAATGACTAAGTGAAAGTTGGGTACAAAAGGCAAACCCTAGGCAACTGTACCCCATATGTGCTACCCCACTATAGCCTACAGTAGCTATGTCATATAACTCTGACACACCCCCATAGGCAAAGTGGGGGAGAACAAGGGGTCACAAGACCAGTCAAGCAAAGCAAAGCAAGCTCAGGGTGGATCACAAAGTCACCACACATTCCGAGCACAAGTTCAAGGCCACAAGGCCAGTTCACATGCAGGATTACATATATATATAAGGCTAGACAAGCAAGAGCAGGAGTATATATATATGCAACAGTACAAACAAGGTCAAGAGGTGAGCAAGTGAGGCAAGGTAGGTACAAGACCCAGCTGAGTACAGAAGCGCTGATGATCACAAGGCGCAAGTGCCTTGGTGAAGATATCAGCAGTGTTGGCCTCAGAGGCCACGTACGCAAGTCGCAGCTGACCACGCTGCTGTAGCTCACGAGCAAGGAAGTAGCGAAGAGCAATGTGCTTCGTTCTGTGCTCCAGTCTCTGCTCTCGACACAAGGCCAGCATGGCCTTGTTGTCTACGTAGAGCACTGGAGGAGAACGAGGCGGCTCTCCGAGGTCAGTCAGCAGGTAGGTGAGCCAGCGAAGCTCCTGTGCAGCCATGGCCCCGGCGTAGATCTCAGCCTCACAACTGGAGCCGAGAACAGAAGACGAGCGAGTAGCCCGCCACGAAACAGAGCCGGAACCAAGGCTGAAGGTGTAACCCTGTGACGACCGCTGCGTAGCCTGGTCGTCAGCCCAAGAAGCGTCTGCGTGTCCAGAGAGGACCACTGGACTCTGCCCTCCAAGCACAAGCCCCATGCCCGACGTACTGCACAAGTAGCGCAACACCCTCTTCGGTGCAGCCATGTGCTCCGGTCTGTGTCTCCCAGGAGCAACATAGCGTGCAAGAATGCTAAGAGAGTATGCAAGGTCAGGTCGTGTGCAGGTCATCAGGTACATGAGGCAGCCAATAAGCTCTGGGTACGGGCCACTCGACTCTACGGACTCATCCGAAGGCAGAGCTGAGAGCGAGTGGCGAGTAGGCAGAGGAGTGGCCTGAGGCGAGGAGTACGTGAAGCCGAAGCGCTGAAGGACCTGCTGCACCATGTGTGACTGAGTCAGGGTAATGGTGCGGCGTGCTCTGTCCCGGGTGATCTGCAAGCCAAGGTAGCTGCGCAGTTCACCCAGGTCTGTGCACGTGTGTCTCTTCTGCAGCTCGGACTTCACGTGGGCGAGTCCAGCAGTGTCAGCTGTGGCAAAGACCAAGTCGTCGACGTACACGAGGATGTAGAACGGCTGCAAAGAAGTGTCGGTGCGCAGAAACAGCGACGGGTCGGCAGTAGAGGGAGCAAACCCAAGAGCCGCAAGTGTAGTCCTCAGTGTGTCGTGCCACTCACGCGGTGCCTGGCGGAGACCGTAGACTGGCCGCCGGAGGCTCCACTGGGTGCCAGGAGGAAAAGACCCAGTGAAGCCAGGTGGGCGACGCAGCCAGATCTCCTCGTGCAGGCTGCCCTGCAAGAAAGCAATGCTGAAGTCAAGAGAGTGCAGCTCGTAGTCGCGGTGAGCAGCTATGTGCAGCAGTACCCGAAGAGTGGTCATCTTCGGGGTGGGAGAGAAGGTCTGAAAGTAGTCAACTCCCTGCCGCTGACTGAAGCCACGAGCCACGTAACGCGCCTTGAAGACAGGCGGAGAACCCGGCGGCCGCTTCACCCTGAAAATCCACATGCCACTGACGATGTTCGCCCCAGGCGGGGGAACCTCGTCAACGTAGGTGCCTGTGGACTTCCAGGAAGCCATCTCTGCGTCCATAGCTGCCTGCCACTGAGAGGAGTAGGGACCCTCTATCGCCTCCGCGTAAGAGCGCGGAGTCGGGATGTCAAGTGCATCCGGGTCTCCCTCAGGGGTAAGCAGTACGGACACGAGATGAGGTGAAGCAGCAGCCAAACACTGGAACTCCTCCTGCCTGTCCTCAAGGACGTCCGTGCCAAGGGCACACTCACCCCCGACGGACGGAGGACAGACAGACTCAGACTCAGCAACAAGACTAGCAGCGTAGTCTAGACGACAGCGAGCAGCAAAGTCGACGAGCTCAGTAACTAGGGCAGACGCAGCAGTGGACTCAAAGGAAGGGTCAGTGACAACAGTAGCAAGGAGACGCGTGACAGTAGGACTGGCAGCACGAAGAGAGTCCGACTCCGGGTCAGGAAGAGCAGGAAGAGAGGACTCAGGAGGAGAAGGCAAAGGGGCACGCAGAGGAGCAGTGGACGGACGCAGAGACATCCGGTGCGTGCCAGGGACAGGAGGAGGACGCTGACGCGAACCACGAGCACTAGTGCGAGCAGCACGGACAGGCGACGCAGGGCGAGACGCAGGCTCACGACGCTCAGCAAGACCTCCAGTAGGACCAGTGTAGGGAGAAGGAGCGGGCAGTGGGGAGGCCGGCTGTAACTGTAACTGTGACGGGACAGGCTGTGGACACTCTAAGGG